CCCCCCCCACCTCAGTTGTAGCGTGGCCGAGCCCTGTATGGTCCGCGGGTACATGGAGCTTTTGTTTCCTGTACCCGGCCGGACTAACAGGAAGTGCACACTGAGTGTGCACTTCCTGTTAGTCCGGCCGAACCATACTGGGCTCGGCCACGCTACAGAGAGGGAGTGACAGGAGGGAGCGCTGAGCGCTTCCCTCCTGTCAGCCCCTCTCCTCAGGCTGCGCCCAGGCGGGCAAAGCTGCAGCCGCCTGAGGCTCTCTGCAGAGCGCTCGGGCGGCTGCAGCAGGAGGGGGGCCGGCGCCCCCTCCCAAGGCACCCCACACCCTGCTGGCACCCGGGGCGGACCGCCCCCACCTTAGTACGCCACTGGCTAGGACAATGAAAATGGGTCGTGGATGGGTATTCCAGCATGACAATGACCCAAAACACACACCCAAGGCAACAAAGGAGCACATTAGGGTCCTGGAGTGGCTAGAACGTAATCCTATAGAAAATCTGTGGAACGAGCTGAAGGTTCGAGTTGCCAAACGTCAGCTTCGAAACTTTAATGGCTTGGAGAGGATCTGCAAAGAGGAGTGGGACAAAATCCCTCCTGAGATGTGTGCAAGCCTGGTGGCCAACTATAAGAAATGTCTGACCTCTGTGACTGCCAACAAGGGTTTTGCCACCAAGTACTAAATCGAAGGGATTGAATACTTATTTCACTCATTGACATGCAAAACAATTTATAACTTTTTTGACATGTGTTTTTCTGGATTTTTTTTTGTTATTCTCTCACTGTTAAAATATAGACTGATCATTTCATTGTCAGTGGGCAAACATTCAAAAACTTTTTTCCCTCACTGTAAGATTGTAACTAGACATGTGCACCAGTGAAATTTTTGTTTTGAAAAAATTTCATTCGTCAACTCCAAATTTCGACAGTAAAACATTTGTTTTTCAGACGAAATTCGGTAAAAATGCGCAAAAAAAAAACAAAACAAGAAGGGAGCCGGCAATAAATATTACCAATACCCCTCTGCATTAAAACCTATGGGGGTCACTATGACCCCTATATTAATAAAAGGGATGTTAAATCCTCACGTGGCATGCCGTGAGTAGCAAGTAACCAAGTAGGCAAGGCTCAAGAGTTACCTATCAGATATTTTTTTTGCAGCGTGTTTTTTGTGCTCGGGTTTTTAAAATTTATTTTACAAGTTCTATGGGAATTATGGATTTTTATTTGGCTTTTTTGGGATTGAAAAAAGAAGGTTTGAGAAAAAAGAAGATATCTAATGGTAAGTATGATTTTTTTTATTGACAGGTCTTTAACTTTTTATTCCCCTCTCACTATTTTTAGGGTGAGGGGGTAGGAAGGAATTTTATTTGTGGGGGGGTGACTAGGGGCTTGGGGAGTTACTTTTACATTTAGCACCCAACCGCCATCCCCCTATTCTCATTTTGGGCCCCTACCCACTCCTCATGGGTTTGGGCAGGGGGGGACAATAGGTTCCCCTCCTATTGTCTCTAGAGCCTCCACCCACTGCTCATGGGTGGGGCCAGGGGGAGGCAGTAGATCCCCTCCCGCATTGTATCTGAGGGGGAATTATTTTTGAAGGTGCCCCACTAAGGGGCACTTTATTAGAATGCTGGGGGTTTTTTTGGGGGGGGGGGGTGCACTGGCTGCTCACTATTTAGTAGACATGCTCCTACTCGTGGTATAATGAGTAGGGGCAGAAGGGAGATTTAGGTCTTTCAGCCTTTTAATAGATAGCTCGCTAATACCGTGGGAATTAGGTAGCTATCTACTCGCGACACAAATAGAATTGGAGTTTCATTCATTCAAATGAAATTCCGATACAAACAAAAACTCCCAAATTACGTCCTGACTGCTGCAGGGAGATCCAGGTTTTTTTGATTTTCCTCAGTCCTGTGGGGTTTAATTTTCCTGCAGCATGGAGTCTATTAAACGAAAGAATTGAAACGAAAAGGTAATGCATTCGGCATTTGCCCTTTCGTTTCGTATATAATTCGTATGTAGGACTTTTATGTATATTATAGTAAACTAATACGAAAAAGTCCAAAAGCTATCCAAAAATAAAGAATTTATTAAACTATTTTTAAAAAAAACTTTCCGCAGGGTCCAGTCAGGGAAGAGATCAAGTTGAAAACACCATGGACTCCGGTACAGCTGAAAAGGATTCTTCCTTGTCTGCACATGTACCAACCAGGGACAGAACTAAATTATTGTTTAACAGTTTTGTTGAAGGTTTTACGATTCCAAAGTTTTCTTGTTCTGGTTGCATTCTCGTTAATTTAAAATCTGTTTTGCAGAATGTAAAGCCTGTCAGTGAGAAGTTGCAAAGGGAATTGATTTTGGATAGAGTAGCTGGTCATTTTGAAAATCCTCCTTTTGCTAATTTCTGTCTGTGATTCTCAAAAAAAGAGCCAGATTCAGGCAAATTCATCATTTATCCTACCTGACTGGTGCTTCATTAAATGATGAGTTTAATATGGAGAGTTGCTCGGTGCCCTATGGCTCTTTTGATGATGGGTGCATTAGTGGATATTGAGTTGGCTTTTAGACTCTCGCCACTGCATCTGGAAGGTTTCAATTCACTCGATTTTAATTTCTTAATACGTTTTAGTTTAGTAGATGTCTCCCTATGGGCTGTTCTTGCTTCATTCCTATGGGTGAATAATGTTAAAACTGGTTTATATTGTATTGTGCGTTATTGATGATTGTGTTTATTGGTTCTATTCCAGGTTTAGAGTGTATTGGTTTGTTAGACTTTTTCTGTAGTTTGATAATATTCTATTATCAAAGGGAAAAGCAGTTGGTCTAGTTACATGCATTTTGATTTCTGATAATTACTGATTCTGTTGCTTTTGAGTGTAGATTGCTTGCAGAAGAGATTAGTAGAGTTATAGAACAAAATATTTTTTTGTCACTCAAAAACAGTTAAGCGTTTTCAATCATTCCTTGTTTTTGTTTTTTTTGTGTTTGCGGGTCATATGCCAAATTGCCAATAAGTAGAGTTTTTTTGTAGAGTGACATCTTTAGCCTGTGCAGGAAAGAAATTGTGTTATTGTTTTGTTAGGGTATCTGCAGAGAAATTAAGAAGGATTTGCAGGTTTGAAAAATATTCTTGTAGAATTACAATGGTTGTTCTTTGTTACAATCAGACTTTCAGGTTAATGTAGCTTTGCAGTTATGTGTTGATGAAGCGGGTGCAGGTGGATTTGGCATATTCTGGAACATAAAATGGGAGTTTGCACAGTAGCCGGAGGATTTGGAGGAGCAAGGGTAAAATGGCACTGCCACACACCACCCCTCCTTCCACTTCACCCCCTGAAAAATTAGTATGTCATCAAGATAGAATCTTTATGAAATACTTATTTTGACTGTTTTGGAATTTCACTGAAATGGTCTTGTGAGATCCTCCATAGACCTCAGCGTTGAACTTTTGTGCATGCGCGAGAGTACATAAGTGACGTCTGCTCCTGGCACCGTAGCATCAGGCTGAACCTCAGGAAAGTCAAAACATTTTGTATATGTGTCTGTATTTCTGTCTGTATATGTGTTTGGATGTGTGTGTGCCTGTATGTGTTTGTCTATGTGCGTGTTTGCATATGTATCTGTTTGCATGTGTGAGGAGAGAATGTATGGGACGGGGAGGATAGAGGTATGTGGGGGTGGTGAACGTATGGAAGGGGGAGGATAGAGGTATGCTGTGGTGGTGGTGGGGGGGAGAATGCATGGGAGTGGGAGTATGCATGTAAGGGGGTTGACGGGGGGGAAAGAACGCATGGGAGTGGGAGTATACACGTATGGGGGATGGTGGGCGGGGTGGATAGACGTATAGGGGGTATTCGCACCGGGGGCCCCCGTGGTTTCTAGTTATGCCTCTGGCTCTAGGTGAGATCTTACCAGGGATCTATAAAATCTTATCACTACCTAAATATCCATCTGGTGTGTCAAACTCATAAGGGATATAATAAAGTGACATTTATGACAGGTGTTTTGCAGCATGACCTTTACTTTTTAATATACTCTGGATCTTTGCAGTGGTTTCCGAAGACAGTAGAGGAGATAGTTTTGATATGGTAGCAAAGCCTGACCGCTAAGCTGACCTGAATCCATGTTCTGTAAACATACACTGACCTAGATATGTGACCACTTTGATAATATACAGATTGCAGTTTCAGACAGCTAATCAGTTTTGTGATCTGGATGCGCCACCATGTAATGAATTTTGTTACCTTGGCTGGAGATCAAATGTTTGCACTAAAATCCTCCTCTATAAACAAAACTGAACAAGAAATTTTTTTTTTTTTTTGTACATTTGACCCTAAACATGCAAGAAGCAAGCATGAGCACGGTCCATATCACCCACATGACAACTCTTGAGGTGTCTATTAAAATTAAAAGTGTTTATTAACAAAAGAAATATGCCTGGCCCCCGTCACTGGCATTGCAGTCTCAAATGCAGGTATGTATTTCCAGTCTCCCAAACTTGTGTCATTTGTACGATACAAATATTGTCCAAAAGTCCAGATCATGTGTCTGTGTGATCTGTGGGAATTAAATTTGTCTCTGTAGTTGGCGATGCACATGGTGTCATGAGGATAGAATCGGTTTTAACCGTGTCTCCTTTGGCTCCAAATGGTGAAAAAAGCTTCCTTAACTTACTCCCTTTTAATTTTAGTTGCCATCGAACCTTTTGCACTCTGAAATTAAACAAGAAATCACGACAAAGTATATGAGCATTGATTTCATGATTTCACACTTTTCCTAATTTCCCTGGAATCTTAAAACCACATCCTGATCAAAAGGTTCTTCAAAACTCAGTGACATTTTTTATTCTCTCTGTGTAAATGAAAGGTCACTATTGTATTTCTATTTTTCTGATAATTGCAGTTTACAAGTGATTATCTTTTACTATACCTGCATCTCCTATCACCTGGAGATTTGTCTGTCCCTGATGGGCAGAGCTAATTCCCACGGTTCCCACCATAAACCATAGAGATGCACTGTCAGTATCAGTGAAGCACAATCCGTCTCTTTGGTACACATTGATAAGGCCAGAAATGTGTTCTATTCCCCAAAAGAAAACTGAGCTTCCAGATGTTTGTTATAGGAAACAGAAGTGGCCGTTGCACTGTGTCAGCAAGTACAGAAAAAGCAAGTACAAAAAGTATCGTAGTCATTAGCTTAAAAATGGGAAGAAAAACGTTGCTTTCAGTTTAAACCTTTTAGAGTGCAAAACCATTTGCTTCTCATAGGTCTAAATATAAAACACATGCAGATTGCTTTGCTAACTGTATAACACAAAATGTTTTTAAAGTACACTCCTGTGTTTGTGCTTGGAGTCTCCTGGCCCTGTCCCAGAGTAATCTGTCATATTATTTTAGCAGGGTTTGATAAATGACCGAGGAGCGCACCATGCACCCATGCTGAGAGGTCACACATTAGTTTTGTTCAATACAGGAACTCATTAAACCCCTGCTCAAGAAGACCGGAAGCAGAACAGATGCTGGGTGGGACCCAGATAAGTGTCAAACCATGGTAATACCATTTAATATATAATACTGGGACACTCCACAAGCTTTAATGATTATGGTACCTAAAGTGTTCCTTCAATTAGGTTACACTATTGCTAAGCAGACCACAATAAAAGTATGACTTATATTCTTATCTAGAGTCTTAGCAATGTCCACAAATCATTTACTTACCTCATCGTTATCACCATGAACAGTATAATAAAAATTCCTAAATTGACGCCAACCACGAGGAGTGTGTACCGACGAACTACAGTCTTCACCGGAGTCTCTTCTGCAGCAAGAAATGGAAGGACAGAGTCAATGTCAAATGAGATGCAGACACTAAACTAGTGGTTATTGTTTTATAACTTAGATTTTTATTTAATTTTGCATCTAAACAGGTGAATGTAAGAAGAAAAAAAAAAACTCATTGGAAAGAAATTATGTATTTTCTGATCATTTGAACATGTTATCTGCTCTATTTTCATAGTTTACATTTTTTAACACATATTACATAGAAACATAGAATGTGACGGCAGATAAGAACCATTCGGCCCATCTAGTCTGCACAATTTTCTAAATACTTTCATTAGTCCCTGGCCTTATCTTATAGTTAGGATAGCCTTATGCCTGTCCCACGCATGCTTAAACTCCTTTACTGTGTTAACCTCTACCACTTCAGCTGGAAGGCTATTCCATGTATCCACTACCCTCTCAGTAAAGTAATACTTCCTGATATTATTTTTAAACCTTTGTTCCTCTAATTTAAGACTATGTCCTCTTGTTGTGGTAGTTTTTTTTCTTTTAAGAAATATTGCGTATATAATCCGCTTAACCACCATTTACAAATTTGCCATCTACTGCAGAATCACTGAGGGGTTCCCATGGCCCCCGGCACACAGAATCACTGGCGACAGGTAATAAAGGTTTTTAATACTTTATGAAAGGAGATGAAGGAATTTGTAGCAATATAAGCCATACATTCCATTAGAGAAATATGGCGGACCAGTGACTGTTAAGGTTTGGGTAGGAACACAAAATTGGATCCCCATGTCATTTTATTGGGTTCACCCATAAATAATGGCTCAGTGAGCTGATTTTTTTAATTGAAGAATATATAAAATATGGATTTATTTTTTTTAACTGGTTCTCCTGTTTTTTCCTTTATTGCTGTGAATAAAATCAACATTTAGTTACTGTCCCCTGGTTACTGTCAATCATCTCTTTTCTCCCATCCACATTCTCTTTCTCTAAATCACAAAACTAAATTGACATGCTCAGCCATTGGGCGTTTCAGGTCAGTTCATGATTTGGTTACATTTTAGCTTGAAGTTCAGGAAATCGACCAATCACCCGACTGACACTATATCTCCCTATAGTGCCTTCCCTCCCTCCCCTTGATGCAGAATGGGATTAAGAAAACCTTATGTTACTTACCTGAGTCAATGGCTGATGTCCACCTTCACTGCTCCCCCCCAACAACAGCCGGTGGCAAAGACCTAAGGTGGATGCGTGGCAATAGCAGCGCTCGCATCAGGACTTCCCATATGAGGACGTCCAGCATCAGTTAGGTGACCAAAAGTCACCTTATGCCCCGGAAGGCCCTCTAGTGGCTGTCTGGTAGACAGCCATTAGAGGTGGAGTTAACCCACAAAGGTAATTATTGAAGTTTATTAAATACTGCAATAATTACCTTTGCAGGGTTAATGGACCTGGGATTATGCACCCAGACCACTTCAATGAGCTGAACTGGTCTGGATGCCTGTAGTGTCCCTTTAGGAACCAGTGCACTGGACAATAAAACTTTCATTCAGTCAACTCACCATCCTCAGTTTCCGTGGAGTAATCATCTTCTGACGTTGTGAAGAACGTTATGTCATTTTCAGAAGGATCCTAGGAAAGAAATTATATTTAAAATTGTGTTGATTTTTTTTTTCACCATCAATAATTTAACAGCCTACAGTCCCTTACTCACCTGTGTTGGCAAAGTTTGCATGTCATCTGCAAAAAAAATAAAAATATTAATAAAATGGGTTATCTGAAATATCAAACATACACATCAGCTGCTGAAGATAAAGGAAACGCTGTACTTAGGAATAACTCACCAGCCTCAAAGCTACTAGTGAATTTCCCCAAATTGCACAATTTGGGGAAGTATTGAAATGTGTTCTCTCTGTCCTTTGTGAGTGGATGCCTATTTCTAACATAAAAACACATAACACTAAATATTTAAAATGTTGTTTCCATACGTACATGACCTGTAGATTTGTTTCAGAATGGTCACTAAACATCAGTAGCATAACTACGGGGATGGAGTGATGATGCATCGGTGCGGCTGCACGGGAGCAAGCATCGGTAGGCGACGAACAGCCAAGACATAGGCAAAATACTAAAGCAGCTGGGAGGCTTGATTTGCACATAAAGCCACGCACAGGACAGCACTCAGAAGATGTGGGCATTGGGGGCCTATCGGTTAGCCCATTCACTAAGGGCAAAAACCATAAGCAGGCAGATTTGATAAAGGGCCCTTTAATGTCGTCAGCCAGTGCTACAAGGATGGAGAAGGCACAGAGAGGGAGAAGGGAGATAGATATGCAGATAGTGAGCTTTGACAGGCTCAGACTCCCATCAGCCTCATCCAGGACAAGAAGCCATCCCCCTGCACCCTAAAGGTAAGAACTGTGTGTCAGTGTGTATGTTTGTCTGTGTGTGGGTATATGTGTGTGTCAGTATGTACATGTATCTGTGTGTGGGTATGTGCAGGGATGTATTTACCACAAGGCAAACAAGGCATTTTCCTAGGGTGGCACTTTTGGGGGGGGGCATGCCACAAAATGCCACCCCAAGCATTGTTTGCCTCGTGTTCTGGGGCTGTCCACCTTACTGTGAGTGAGTGAGTGTAGCTGTCAGTGTGTGTCTGTGAGTGAAAATGGGTGTGTATGTCATTTTATGTGTATCTGAGAGTGTGTGCCTGTCAGTGAGTGGGTGTGTCAGTGTGTGTCTGTCACTGAGTGTATATCAGTGCATGTATCAATGAGGGCATGTTTCTGTCAGTCAAAAAAATGGCCTTGACACGAATTGGGGGGGAAAATTTAGATTTTGGGGGTGCCGATATTAGTTGTGCCAAGGGCAGCACAAATCGAAAATACACCACTGCTCTGCTAGATGGAGCTTCATTGCATCCACCACGTTTTACGTTTTATATTAACAAAAAAATCTCTTATACATTTTTAAGGAACTTAAAGTACACAGTAGGGAAAATTTGATAAACACAAAACAAACAAAGCAAAACTATATTTAACACCATAAAAAGTATTAATCTCTCCGCGCTCAGAACAGTTTGAAATAGATCAGCTTTTAGATTCTGACCTTCTGAGATTTACATAAGCAGGCTTTGCTGAAACTGCAAATTTCTATGGAAATTAATCTGCAATAAATCATACTAAAAAAATTCACACATTTCAGAAACATTAAAGGAACTACTGGTATGGTTTCAATGGTTTCTGGTTTTTCATGCAAATTCCAAATTTCACAGTCTGAAAGTGCGAAACCTGCTGATTCCCGGTTAATGTTATTCACCAACGTTTCTAAAGTTTGAACGCACACATTTATATACATAGTATTCTTTTTTATTTATCAAAGGCATTCGATAAACTGAAGGCACAATACTGAAATGGAATGAAATCATATTGTTACAAAGCTATTTATTACAAATTAAAGCAGCCATGATATAGCTTAAATGACCACTTTAGTCACCCAGACCACTTCAGCTCAATGAAGTGGTCTGGATGCCAGGTCCCTCTAGTTTTAACCCTGCAGCTGTAATAGTTTCAGAGAAATTTCTGTGTTTACATTGCAGGGTTAATTCAGCCGCTAGTGGCTGTCTCCTTGACAGTCGCTAGAGGCTGCTTCCGCGATTCTCAGTGTAAAAATCGCATTGAACTCCCGTTGGACGTCCGTAGGAAAGCATCGAGTAATGCTTTCCTATGGGCGGTTTGAATGCGTGCGCGGCTCTGCCCACGCATGCGCATTTGGTTCCACTCGGGAGCTGACGTTGGCAGGGGGAGGAGAGGTCATCAGCCCAGCGTGAGTGTGGCTCAGAGGGAGGAGGGGACCTATTAACCGTTTAGTTCCAGGAAAACGGGTTTGTTTTTCCTGCACTATAGGATCCCTTTAATTGAAGAGGAGGGGAAAAAGGAAGCAAAGGAACAGACAAAGGAAAAAAGGTAAAACACTTCAACAGCATGTAGCATAGTCAGGGGCGTACCTAGAGCATTTAGCACCCGGGGCGGATCCTGTGCTTGGCACCCCCTCGCCTCCTCCCCCCCCCAAAAAAAAACCTGTAAAAAAAATGTGAAGTTTTTTTTTTTTTTACAATTTGTAAACTTTGCAAAACCACCGTCAGCCCTTCCTACAAACCCCTTGTCCTTCCCCACACCCTCCTTTAAAACCCCTGTCCTGCCCACTTCTACAAATCCTGTACTGCCCCCCATCTACAAAAACCCCACAACCACCTTTCACAAATCCCCTGCTTATCCCCCCTTGTAAAGACTCCTGTCCCAATACAAATCCCCTGCCCCCTTTTACAAAATCCCTGCAGACACACACACACATTTATAGGCAGACAGTCACACACACAGTTACAGGCATACTGTCACACACAGTTACAGGCAGACATATACATTGACACACACACGGCAGCAGCAGACAGTCACATGCACTCAGTCACAGACAGATAATCACACACACGTTTACAGGCAACATCAAACAGTCACAGGCAGACAGTCACACATACATAGTCACATGCAGTCACACACACAGTTATAGGCAGACAGTTACACACACAGTCAGTTACAGGTAGTCACACACAGTCAGAGCCAGACAGTCACATATACAGTCACATGCAGAGAGTTACACACACACTTACAGGCAGACACATACACACACATACACACAAAGTTACAGGCAGACAGTCTCACACACACACATACATACACACACACACTGCCACAGTCACACACTATCACTTACAGACAGTGGGCTGGAGGAGGACTGGATTCCCTGAAGCCTGTGGAGAGGCAGGGATTCCATCTTACTGCTCCTCCATGTGCAGCAGTAAGAGCAGTAACTGGTAAGGGCTGTATTAAGCCCTGCCCCCGCTGCCAATTTGGCTCTGCCCCGATTTGTGTTAGCTCCGCCCCGCTTTACCTCCGTGCAGCCAGTTCAGCTGCTCTTTGCGTGTGTGAGCTGTTCTGGCCGCACGGCACCCTAACTACCATGGGGCACTGTGCGGCCGTACAGCTCACACAGCCCCCTCCAGCTCCCAGACCCTTGTGGCACCCTGGTTGTACCCGGGGCAGACCGCCCCCTCCGCATGCCACTGAGCATAGTAACTGAATGTGTTTGTAATTTCCCTTACAAAACACAAATCTACAGTTTAGGGGGTACCAATAATACATTTCCGCCACGAGTGCCAGATACACCCCCATATAACACTCTATATCAGGGGTGGCCAAAAGGTAGATCCCTAGATGTTGTAGAACTACAAGTCCCATGATGCATTGCACACTTTTAATAGCAAAGCATCGTGGAAGCTTAAATTTTAGGCACCCCTGCTTTATATGAAGCAGTAGGGTAGCCCTAGCTCAGAGTGTCCAGACTCTGCATGCGACCCAGCCTGACCATTGGGTTTTCTACCTTTCCAAGGGGTGCCTTCTGCCGCCACGCTCCAACTGCTCCATAATCCGTGTTTGAATTCGTCCTGAGCACGCACCATTACTCTGTGTTTTCTCCCCATCACAGCGTCCTCAATCATGTAATAGGTTTCTGTGGCTGATACCTGTACAAAGTGCAAGAGAAATTAATCAGAACGTACTTTTTGTATTTTGTGTAACTAAAACGGGTGCTTTGTGTAGGTAATGCACACACTTGTGCTCAGAAACAAACAAAATAAGTAAATATTTGTATTATAAATCTTTTTTTATCCATATGTTTGATAGCAGTTGGCCCATAAAATCCCCCATTAGTTAATCTGACTATTATTATTATTATTATGGTATTTATATAGCACCATCAAATTCCGCAGCGCTTTACAATGGGTGGACAAACAGACATGTAGTTATTACCAGACAAGTTGGACACACAAGAGCAGAGGGGTTGAGTGCCCTGCTCAATGAGCTTACATGCTAGAGGGAGTGGGGTAAAATGACACAAAAAGCTAAGGATAGTATTAGACTAGTGACAGTTGCAGACGAGGAATTAGTCAGGAGCTATTAACAGTTAATTGATACACTTTTATGAAGAAGTGGGTTTTTTTAACAATTTTTTGAAGGAGTGGAGACTGGGTGAGCATCTAACGGAGGAGGAAAGCGAGTTCCACAGGAAAGGTGCAGCCCTTGAGAAATCTTGAAGGCGAGCATCAGAGGTGGGAGTACGGACAGAAGATAGACGTAAGTCTTCAGCAGATCGTAAGGGCCTAGACGGGACATACTTGTGTATAAGGGAGAATAGATAGGTGGGAGCAGCATTATGTAGAGATTTGAAAGCAAGAACCAGAATTCTAAATTGAGCTCTATATTTTATAGGAAGCCAATGTAGGGACTGACAGAAGGGTGAGGCATGGGAGGTGCGGGCGGACAGAAAGATGAGCCTCGCTGCTGCATTCATTATGGACTGTAACGGCGCAAGTTGGGAGCACGTAAGACCACTGAGAAGCGGATTACAGTAGTCAAGGCGAGAAAGGACAGTGGAATGGACCAACACCTTAGTCGCATCTGGCGTTAAGTAGGGGCGGATGCGCGCAATGTTTTTGAGATGGAAATGACAGGATTTGGCGACAGATTGAACATGAGGCTTGAAGGAGAGGTCGGAGTCAAAGAGAACACCTAGGCAGCGAGCTGAAGGTAGCACCATTGGTGGAGCTGAAGGTAGCACCATTGACTTGGAGGCAGATAGACACAGGAGTAACAACACTTGAGGGAGGAAAGACCAGAATTTCAGTTTTGGTCAAGTTTAGTTTAAGGAAGTGGGGAGCCATCCAGTTAGAAATAGTAGGGAAACAGAGAGGCAGTCAGAGATACTAGTCAAGAGGGACGGGGAGAGATCAGGAGAAGACAGGTTTGCGTGTCATCTGCATAGAAATGATATTGGAAGCCAAAGGAGCTAATGAGTTTACCAAGGGAGGCAGTATAGATGGAGAACAGTAGGGGACCAAGGACTGAACCTTGGGGGACACCAACAGAGAGGAGTTGGGGAGAAGAAGCAGAGCCAGAGAAAGAAACACTGAAAGAGCGCTGGGAGAGGTAGGAGGAGCACCAGGAGAGAGCAGTATCTTGTAGACCGATATTGCGGAGGATGAGAAGAAGCTGTTGATAATCAACAGTGTCAAAAGCCGCAGACAGGTCAAGGAGAATTAGGATAGAGTAGTGACCACAAGATTTTGATTAAGATTACTAGACTAGATTATTCTCCTTTAACAACCAATGGGAAATAAATCCCATTGACATCATAATATGCTTGGTGTGCTGTTGGCCTTCAAGGAGTTAAATACAATTTGTAACTTTTTTTTTTTTATTGTTTATTCCCGTTATCTGCTAGTTTCTATACACCCGTGCATACTTATATTTAGTTTTTTAATAAATACTTGAATTTGATATATTTTGTGCCCCCTATATATGTTTATATATCATATCTATGAAGTCATCTATATTTAGTGGGGTGGCAGCCAAAATTGTATATTTTATATTTTTTGTTTATTACCCACTATTTCATATTTTTCCATTTTTCTTCCTTATAATAATATGGTGTAAGCAGGACTCATCTTTCATCTCGGAGACCCATAGGCATTGAAATCTTTGGCCCCCTCTATTTTTTTAACTAACACTCCAAATGAATTCACTGCATTAAAAATACATTTACCATTATCATAACAATGCGGATGTTAGAGTATTTCCTTTTTGCATGTTTTCATCCATCTTACCACGAATGCCTGTATATGAAGAGTAATTCGCTATTCTGGGAATTGTTGATAATTCAAAGAGCATTCAAAGTGCTTTGGACATTTTCCGACAAAATTGCCAAACTTAAAAAAAAACATTTGGAGAATTTTTTAAATTTGACGATTTCCCCTCCCCCCCAAAAAAGTTAAAATCACATTAAACTCACTTTGATTTAGTGACAATTTGCGCTTTAATGTATTCATTTATCCACGTAGAATGACTGCAAATACATTGATGATGTGAATGCATACATTGTGTGATATGAAGTTTGCATGTAGTATGTGGAGTGTTGGATATATTGCACCCAATCCACTCCTGTACATTTTAATAAAGGGCACATGTGTGGTTGACCCGTCATATGTAACTGAACACATTTATTCTGCTGTGGGGTTTCATGGAACTTTCTTGCCCCAATGCTGCCACTCAGATATGTATTGTTTTCTCATTTGTTTTGTCATTTAAACTGTGCTGCAGTTCTATGCATCTCACTCTCGTCTCTGCACCCGTTGTGCCTTTTTTTCACTCTATATTTCTATGTGGCTAAGAAGAAGATCATTTGATGATTATGATATCAAGGAAGCAGAATTGTAAAAACGGAATAAGAAAAAAAAAAAGAAAGAAATCTACACAAAACAGACCGAAACAAATTGCAGAAAAGAAAACACCGTGCAGAGGAGGTATGTAAATGAAACAATGGTGTCAGCTCTTCCTAACATCAAAGTGGTGTTCTTCTTTCCATAACGATGCTGTTTCACTTTTGTCGAAAATGAATATGTTTTGGCTAAAAGGCAATATCTGTTCAGATAAGAAAAATAACCTTGTGACATGGTTATCCGTTCGTGTGGGTGCACAGCGGTGACATTGTTTGATTTTGTTAAAGGAAGCTGCTTTTATGATACTCACATTAGAGGTGTATTGAGAATTTTCAACGCTGTATTGGATCTCATAGTGTAATTGGTAGAATGGTTCAGTCCACAATTCAGGTGTCTTCCAGGAGACATATAACTTTCGGGGTGCACCTCTCACAGGAGATATGGTTACATTGACGGGAGGGTCTGGTTGAACTGTGTGAAGAAAAAAAAAAACATTTTATTCATTGTTATTTAAGCATTACATTAGCTCACCCACGCTTGTATATAATTATACTACAGGGCAGTTAAATGTTTCAATCTGATTGGTTGACGAACGTTCCAAGGTGTGCATTATTTTCATGGAGACGCACGGCTAAAGTAGTTCCAGACAGGTCTTGACCGGATTACAGTTGCGTAAGAAATTAGTCCTACATACAAGAGCTTTTTAATGACAAAAACTTGACAAACGTCTTGAAATACATCATCTGAACAATGTTTCGAGGTGTGGTAACTGTAGTATAAGCGGAATAATTAACTCCAGGCCGTTGAATTATTAGAAAACAATAATGCACACCCAAGGTGTAACGGCCACTCTGCTTCGTGTCGTGACCGCTTTACCACCTCGGGTGTGCATTTTTTTTCTAATAATTCAACGGCCTATTGTAAACAATTAACAGTTTTTTAATGTGTCAAATAAAATGCATAACACAAAAATTGCAGATCAACGTTCCAACTCTACAGAGTCAAGATTATATTGATCCTATAAAGTCAAAATGTTGATCTGCAATTTTGGTGTTGTGCACTTTATTTGACACATTAAAAACACTGTTTAAGGGGGGTTGCGCCCTGACTGTCATGCTGGTCAGCCGGATTTAGACAGAGCTCCCAGCACAAAAGCAATTTTTTGCCCATTGTGCTGACTTTTTAAAGCAGTTATTAGGCATTCAAACTGCAGGGGATGTTGTGCTAAGGCCAGGGACTAATGAAAGTATTTACATAATTGGGCAGACTAGATGGGCCAAATGGTTCTTATCTGCCGTCACATTCTATGTTTCTAAAAGACACTAATGAATATTTTAGGTGGACTTTGGCCACCCGGTGCTGCCAAATGTGGTAGAAGCGATCGATCTCGCCACGCTAATTTGCCCAAAATTAGAGGACAAAGTACGAATCCCTGCTTTCCCCTATGCCTGTGAGGGTTATGCCTGCAAATTAACTTCGATGTTTCTCCAGCATCACTGATAAATTCTTGGTCTTCATAATGCCTATGCAACATAAAGTATTGTGCAAATGCCTGCTCTAGATGGAGGAAGCCATAAACTCCTATGCATCCAGAGGTCTGTCATAAAACATAGAGGCTCAACTGAGACCTATTTGATGTGTTTTAGCTGAAATTGCAGACAACTGCAAATGTCAGAGATGAAAGAGCTAGATTATATCCTGTCTCAGGGAATACTGCCAAGTGTTCCCCGAACATTAGATAGTCTTGCCCATATTAGGGAAACCCAAGAGGACACTCAAGCCACTATCTTTTAGCTGGATCTACAGCAGGTTCATCACCCACTGCCACATACTCAGGCTGAGAGTCTTCAGGGGGGGACCCCTTGGATGCTGCCCGAAACTTTGGAGGAATACAAGGACCAATACCAAGCAACAGTGCCCTTCTGAGATGCCAACAAGGTCACCAGAAGCAATTGGACAGGTGGGCAACGCATATGGGCTCTCGCTGAGGCCAGTGGAGTAGATGGCTCTGGATGTAGAGTCCAGACTCCTGGAGTGTCTTGTTACAGGAGTTTAATTCCCAGTCTGGTAGTAGGATGATCATAATAAGAGCATGGCGATGAGCAGGGCGCTGTCTATTCTTTGTTCATTGGGGTTTTTATTTACATCTGGTTTATTTTTATGTTTCAGTGCGCTGTATCTAAGTACCTAAATTTGCCTATAAACAGAGCTTTGACAGACAGACAGATAGACAGACAGACAGATATATATTTGCCGGCGATACAGGATGCTCAAGTCTTTTAATCCCACGTTTTTCAGATTTGCTCAAGATTCACATTGTATTGATTCTGTTTTATGCTGTAAGCAAATGATTTCTCTCAGTTTATCTTAATCCTACCTTTTTTCTTGCACTAGTGAATACATTGTGCATCTGTTGTTGAAAGATATATATTTATTATGTGTGATATCCTCGCACTACTTCTATAGCTAGTGATGTCATTCATTTGTTACACACTCATCTAAATAAAAATATATAAATGGAAAAAAACACTGTTCAAAGTCCTATGAGTGATGCCATTTATTTATTTAAATTTACAGTTGTCTCAGTGATATACAAGACAGGACATTTTTATTTAAACAAAACCCCTCCCACAATTTTACTTAATTTAAACATACCTAGACGTTTTATATGGATGGATTCAGTTTCGCTCCCTCGGCTATCGGATAAGCTCGTCACACACATCGATATGAACAATTTTGGATTCTGGCTTAGCTTTTTTCCAATGTGACATTGAACCTTGTTTAAAGTGCCATTGTAAGTGCAAGGCCACTTTTGGGTTGTAGAAGAAGTGCTGTGAACAGAAGGAGAACAAACACTTGATATAAACATTTATTTACAATAAATAGTATTGTGTGGATTCCTTTATTTGTTTTTTGATCTATGTGGACCATTCTTACATAGTGTTAAATATTTTTGTAATGAGTGTAGTCTTGGCCCATTTGGGAAGTCTCTCCTTTGGTGACCACTCACAGGTGATTCTACCTTTAGGGTGCCGGAGGTAACACTGTATCACTGGGGTTTCCAATGTTTCTGAGAAAAGAACAGGATATGAATCTGATTATATAGAGAAATCCATCAAAATCGCCCCTCAACTCTCACTCTCTATGCAGAGGTATGTTACAGAACTCACACAGACAGAGTCACGCTCACTTGGAAGCATTCATTGAAAGCAAATTACTTTCTGGGAGAGATCTCGCTTGGTAAAAGGCAATGTGTTTTAAAAGGAGAGCTCTCACTCATTGAACGATAATCTTACTAACTACGAAATGTCTTGCCCACTTTCTCTGAGAGTTCTCGCTTATTGAAAGGTATTTCCACATTCCATGGGAGGTCTCACTCACTGGAAAGTAATCTCATTTACTCTGAGATGTCTACTTTGCAGAGAGGTGATCTCATTCACAAAGTGAGAATTCAAAGCGAATTTAAAGAGAATTTCAGATTTAAGTCCAGAGCAAACTAACTGAAAGCATAGCCAACTTTGATAATTTTTCAAGATCGGCTATTTTGACCTTAAATTTGAAATTCTCTTTGAATTTACCTTGAATTTTCTCTGTGGTGAATCCAGTAGGAGATTGCTCACTCACTGAAAAGTAATCTCACTTACTACCGTGTTTCCCCGAAAATAAACCCTACCCCGAAAATAAGCCCTAGTCGGATTTTCGGGGTGGGCTGCAATATAAGCCCTACCCCGAAAATAAGACCTAGGCATTGTACCTTTGCGGCGAGACTTCCTTCTTCTACTGTAGGAGGAGCGTTGCGGGCCGCGGCATCGCGCAACGTGATGACGTCATTTCGCAGCGCCGTCAGTCTGCCTTCACGGATCTTCAGCAGAAGGATCCATTTCCGGGCGGTGAGGCTCCCAGTGGTCGGACTCGGCAAGGAAACTTTGAAATGTGAGTACCGGTAGATATTTTATGTCTGGGACTGAATTAATTAAAGGGGGTGGGGGGTGAATTAATTAAAGGGGGGTGAATTAAAGGGTGGGCTGGATTAATTAGAGGGGGGTGAATTAATTAAAGGGGGGTGAATTAATTAAGGGGGGTGAATTAATTAAAGGGTGGGCTGGATTAATTAGAGGGGGTGAATTAATTAAAGGGGGGTGAATTAATTAAAGGGTGGGCTGGATTAATTAGAGGGGGTGAATTAATTAAAGGGGGGTGAATTAATTAAAGGGTGGGCTGGATTAATTAGAGGGGGGTGAATTAATTAAAGGGGTGGTGAATTAATTAAAGGGTGGGCTGGATTAATTAGAGGGTGGTGAATTAATTAAAGGGGGTGAATTAATTAAATGGTGGACTGGATTAATTAGAGGGGGTGAATTAAGTAAAGGGGTGGTGAATTAATTAAAGGGTGGGCTGGATTAATTAGAGGGGGTGAATTAATTAAAGGGGTGAATTAAAGGGTGGACTGGATTAATTAGAGGGGGTGAATTAATTAAAGGGGGGTGAATTAATTAAAGGGTGGACTGGATTAATTAGAGGGGGTGAATTAATTAAAGGGGTGGTGAATTAATTAAAGGGTGGGCTGGATTAATTAGAGGGGGTGAATTAATTAAAGGGGTGGTGAATTAATTAAAGGGTGGGCTGGATTAATTAGAGGGGGTGAATTAATTAAAGGGGTGGTGAATTAATTAAAGGGTGGGCTGGATTAATTAGAGGGGGGTGAATTAATTAAAGGGGGGTGAATTAATTAAAGGGTGGACTGGATTAATTAGAGGGGGTGAATTAATTAAAGGGTGGGCTGGATTAATTAGAGGGGGTGGATTAATTAGAGGGGGGTGGATTTATTAAAGGGGGGGTGGATTAATTAAAGGTGGGGTTCAATGTACATACCGGTACCGTAAATAAATAAGCCCTACCCTGAAAATAAGCCCTAGTGTGTTTTTTGTGACTAAAATTAATATAAGACCCGGTCTTATTTTCGGAGAAACACGGTAGGAGATGTAATATAAACACTGAATCAAGCACTAGAGCAGTTCCGCAGATATGCAGCAGCAACAATCCTGCCAAGGGTCTCTCTTTCTGGCTAAAGAATTGATAACCGATCACAGTTGGTGGATGGTTTGCTTCCAGTAGATATATATGAAATACATAAAGGAACAAACGAAAGTTTAATGGTGGAGTGTCTCTCTGTATAGGCACCCAAACATTTGTGGCGAGCCACTCATATTCAATAGAGCTTTACACCGGCTCAGAGATTCGGAGCTGCTGTGAAGCTCTATTAAATGTAAGTGGCTCTGCACATATTTTCAGGTCCCTATACAGAGAGACACTCCATCATTGAATTGTCGTTTATTCGTTAGGAGATGCTTAGTACACTAAAAGGTCATCTCATTTACGAAGATATTCTGCCTCACACAAAGGTAACATCACTTTCTAGCAGGTAATCACTTTTATTAGAAAAGGTCTCATTCTCTGTGTGAAAGTTTAACTAATTTTAGTAAATATTAATCCCCTTTTTTATAGTCTTATGTTACATCTCACCCACAGACCACTCGCATTAGTGCCCCTCTACATTACTTGATTATTTCCCTTTAATCAACTCACCTTTTACTAGTAGCTGCACAGAACATACTGGGTCACTCTTGCTGAAACACGTGTAATTATCCACATCTTTGTACCGTACATTTTTTAGTAACTGGTGTACTCTCTTCACCGGCGCCAGAGTTCGATTGTGACTTTTCCAGGACATTGTCTTATTGCATCCTGGGCAAGTCAGGCTCACATTTGAATACATGGGGACCATGAGACTATTTGGAGAGACTGCTGGAAGTGAGAGGGGAGAGAGTGAGACTCAAATAAGTACTGGCAGAGACGGGAAGGGCAGAAGTGGGAGATAGTACTGTAGAGAGAAAGAGAGAGCAGGGGTGGAGAAGAAAAGAGCAAATTCTAAACTATTAATTAAGGCATTGGCCAGGGGTGATACAATGGCAATTTTGCTACCATCTTCTATTGAAAATTTCATTTTCGCTGTATCAAGAAATTAACAGAGAATTTCATTTTGTTTGGACTGGAAAATTGCTTAAAATACAAAAATTATCCAGCTGAACTATTTTCCAACTAGGTTATTATGACCTGATATTAGACAGTTAATTTGTCAAAAATCTAGAGATGTTTCTGAAATAGAACTAAACTGTAGTAATAAGTGGCCAATTTAAAGGTACACTCCAGTTCTCAAATTAAAAAAATATATAATTCACTGTTTAGTAGATATAAACCAAATGAAAACTTGTATGTAATTATGCATTTTTCATTGTGGCTATATTTAAAAACAGCTTGAAAAACTGCAGATCTTTTGTCTGAAGCCTTTGCAAACCTCCCCTTGTGACCCCACCCAGACATTGCAACTCAATGAGAAGTCTTTACAAGGCAGGTGCTCTGGAGTTTAGCTCCACTGAGCTAACCAAACCAGGAAGTAACAGGGCCTGTTGTCTGATTGTCAGGCAGGGGGTGTAATCAGGCTAAGTTATGAAAGTGCAAATTTCTATTTAAATCTGCAATTTTTGTAAAATGCAAAAAAGAGGACAAACTCTTCACACATAAAGCACTTTGGCAAAGTAAAGTCTGGAGTGTCCCTTTAAGCAATATTTTCAACCCCTAACTGATCAATTGAAAGCACAGACAACTTCTTATTTAAAAAAATAAATTTAAAAAAAATTCTTTTAATGGGCTAGGCCGTGGTGTTTATTGCTAAATTATAACAATAAATAAAACATGTAATTATTAACGTGTTCAATTAACTTTAATAAAACCAAAACCAATGGTAGTCAGTCTTAATCAACCTGGCCGTTTTGATAACTGTTCTCCATTAGATCCATCCTCTACTATTAACCCTGACGTTGCCCCTTCAAATCCCACAAACACCACGACAACAATGATGCAAAAACAGAGGGGGTCCAGCAGGAACAGCCCTGTTACAGGAATCTGCCTATAAACTACCTATAGAATAGAACTTCTATCTTAAACAGCAACCTCTTAAACCATGGGTGTACAAAAGGTAGAACTACAACTCCCTTGATGCTTTGCGTGCCTTTAGAATGCCTTTACAATGACAAAGCATCATGGAAGCTGTAGTTTTGAAACATATGGAGATCTACATTTTGGGCACCCCTGTCTTAAACTAAAGCCAGATAAAAAACTCCATATTAACTCTTTCTTGCCACCATACATATTCTGGCGCAGTGCTCTTCAGTTTTCAGTAGGTGTTCACATAGACGGACGGGGGGAGGGGAAGGGGGGGTTACTGTAAGCTTTGTGTAATTATTTTAGTGTAGTCAATACAGTGTAAGAGGTCTGAAAATCTGCTATTTGCAAAATAATTATAACAATATGATATAAAAGTACATGCAGTAACCTGAAAATATTTAGAATAGCTGAATTTAGCTTAGAGTTGATGGAATTTATCTTATTATAGAATTATTCATCACCAGATGTTTTTTGGCAATTGTCAGCAATTGACAAGTGAATTACAATTTTGTAGCAAACAATAAATTCACGGTTTAGTTAAAATCACTATTTAGTGAATATCCCAGAAAGATTGGAGGTAAACTAACCATTAGTACCATTTTAGCCCATTTTTTGTGGTGTTGTGCACTAGATTATAAATGTAATACTAAGTATCAAGCACCATAACCACTTTAGTGCACTGTCGTGGTTATGGTTCCAGGAATGCCCTGGTTCCCGATCCATCTAATGACCCGCAAATATATTTAAAGGAGTACTGAGCAATCTGTAATCAAGTCTCTATGTGGCAATTTACTGAAGCTGTTGAGTTCCAGGTGGTACGGCCTAGTCGACACCCTGAAACGGAGTAGCAACCGACCACCTGGACAGGTCGTGCATGGGTACCCACAATTGATCACCTGAGCCATGACCCCCTCCCTTTTCATCATTGCCCATCAATGCAGCTACCTCACTTCTGGACAACCTGTTTGCTACAGCACCAATCTGAGCAACCTAAGATGGTCGTCTATTTGGCAGTGTCACGGACATCTTTAGAGGAGACACAATGGGGAGAGGCCCTCGCATTGGATATCTGCAATAGATACTGATGGAGACTTGATGAACAGGAACTCCAACCTACCTTATCTACAATCAAGCCAACTGAGGCCCAGACATCTTCATTCTGGGGAAGTATCCAAAGAGGGCACTAGCCTGCACACCATCTAGTTTTGTGGGACTATATCGAGCTCTTGACATGGCGTGGTGGGGTCAATGGACATAGTGCGGTGGTTTCTATAAGAGCCTGGACCTGGAGATGCAGGCTTGGGAAGCATAGAGGTGCCCATTACATGCATTCTGTTGATTTCAGTGAAGTCTACCATGTTGCCCAACATTTTTGTAGCACCTTCAACTATTTAGGCATTGATTGACTGACTATCATAACTAGAGATGAGCGAACCCAAACTGTAAAGTTCGGGTTCGTACCAAACATTACGATTTTTTGACCCCGAACCCGAGCCCAGACATTTCAGTAACAGTTCGGGTTCGGGTTCGAGTTCTGTGTTCGGCAATTTAATGGCGCGTTTTGAAAAGCTGCAGGGCAGCCAATCAACAAGTGTTTGACTCGTGTGCCATGCCTACGAGTCAAACGCTTGTTGATTGGCTGCCCTACTAATGGCATGGCTGTGATTGGTCAGTGCAGCATGTGACCCAGCCTCTATATAAGCTGGAGTCACATGAGCTCTTATTAGTGTAGGGAGAGGATGCTGCAGCTGTGAGGGGCAGATTAGGAAAGAATTCTGGTGTTGAATCTGCAAACTACAGCGATTATTTTTGTGATATACTACATTTTTGTACCCTGTCCTGAGCCCAGTGCCACAGAGAAATAAGCAATCAGTCTGTTTGTTAGGTGGGCACTTGCAACTGCATGTCTGCCAGGCACATTACTTTAATCCTGTTCTGGTAGCTCAGTGGGCAACATCTAGGCATTTTTAAATACTGCTGTGACATTGCAGTTTAACAAATTCACAAATTTTTGGTGCTAAAAAGTACATTTGTGGCGTGCACTTCATATCTGAGAGTCAAATAGAACCATCAAATACTGTGGTTACATCGCACTTTTAAAAATTCTAATTTTTTGGTGATAAAAAGTAAATTTGGGCCGTGCACTTCATATCTGAGAGTCAAATAGAACCGTCAAATACTGTGGTTACATCGCACTGTTAAAAATTCAAATTTTTTTGGTGCTAAAAAGTAAATTTGGGGCGTGCACTTCATATCTGAGAGTCAAATAGAACCATCAAATACTGTGGTTACATCGCACTTTTAAAAATTCTAATTTTTTGGTGATAAAAAGTAAATTTGGGCCGTGCACTTCATATCTGAGAGTCAAATAGAACCGTCAAATACTGTGGTTACATCGCACTGTTAAAAATTCAAATTTTTTTGGTGCTAAAAAGTAAATTTGGGGCGTGCACTTCATATCTGAGAGTCAAATAGAACTGTCAATTACTGTGGTTACATCGCATTTTGAAAAATTGACATTTCTTTGGTGCTAAAAAGTTAATTAGGGGCATGCACTTCATATCTGAGAGTCAAATAGAACCGTCAAATACTGTGGTTACACCGCACTTTGAAAAATTCAAATTTTTTGGGTTCTAAATAGTACATTTGCGGCCTGTGGTGCACTTCATATCTGAGAGTCAAATAGAATCGTCAAATACTGTGGTTACATAGCATTTTGAAAAATTTACATTTCTTTGGTGCAAAAAAGTTAATTTGGGGCGTGCACTTCATATCTGAGAGTCAAATAGAACCGTCAAATACTGTGGTTACATCGCACTTTAAAAAATACTAATTTCTTTGGTGCTAAAAAGTTAATTTGGGGCGTGCACTTCATATCTGAGTCAAATAGAACCGTCAAATACTGTGGTTATATCGCACTTTGAAAAATTCAAATTTTTTGGGTGCTAAATAGTACATTTGCTGCCTACGGTGCACTTCATATCTGAGATTCAAAGAGAACCGCAAGTCATGCAGCAGTCTCTCAGCTTTCTGATGACTCTGCTGGAGGGGTTTCCATGGGCCATCCACCTAGCCCTGCCCCAGAAGTGGAAGAGATTGAGTGCACTGATGTACAACCACTTATGTTTCAGGATGTGGACATGCGAGGACCACCACAGCACGTCTCTGATGATGACAAAACACAGGTGCCAACTGCTGTGGCTTTCTGCAGTGTGCAGACCAGTGTCACGGTTCTCACCGTGACATCCCGACGGCCAGACGAGGTCGCCCCAGAAGTGCCCGGTGATGGACTTGAACCAGGGTACTTTGCAGTCCTGGGGCTGCTATTTTGCCTCTGAGCCACCATATCAGCTCAAGAGATAGCCAGAAGTCTATCTTGCCTTGTACCCAGCACTGGGGGCTGGACGTTATTCTGTGGCTGCTCCAATGATCTCAGCACACCTGTGGCTGATCACCAATTAGCCAGGTATAAGACACTGCCTCTCCCTGAGGGCAGTGTCAGTTCATTGACTCTGGTTTCCTTGTTTGGTTCCTGTCTTGCCATATCAGCGTTCCAGTATTTCCTGTCTGATTCCGGCTTCTGACCTTGGCTTTCCTCCTGGACTACTCTGATCTCTGGCTTCCCCTGACTTTGGCTTTCCTTGACTACGCTTCTGCTAATCCCTGCTGTACTGCTACTTGGAGCACTATTCCTGGAAAGCCCCCGTGCACAGACTCACAGATCAGGTGGCGTCTTACCTGGTCACCCTGGTCTGTGTCTACTTTGCAAGGGTGAGCGTATAACTCTGCGAGCCAGACTCCCCATCAGGTAAGAACCTGACAACCAGCAAGGAGGGCAGGGTTGAGGAGTGGGTGGAAGATGATGTGGAGGATGATGAGATCCTACACCCCACATGGAATCAAGGTCATGCGAGTGACGTGTCCAGTTTGGATGAAGAGGCTGTCGTCGCTGGTTGCTGTGCAATCAGAGCCTGAAGCGAGGCATAAACGTTCTAAACCTGAGCACAATCTGCATGACCAGGCATCTACATGCAAAGCAAGAGCTGCAGTGGAGTAAGCACCTCAAAAACCAAGAAAGGTCTCAGGCTCTTCCTGCTTCCTCTTCTGCTGCTGTTTTGGCCTCTTCCTCCACCTCTGGAGTGACAGTGGCACCTGCCACCCCGCAAACAGAGGATGTGGCAGCAACGCCACCACGTCCGCCACCGTCCCCAGGCATCTCCACACAGTCCCATGGAAGCGTTCAGCTGTCCATCTCCCAAACACTGGAGAGAAAGAGGAAGTACCCCCCTACCCACCAGCAATCCCTGGTCCTGAATGCCAGCATTTCAAAATTCCTGGCCTTTGAAATGCTGTCATTCAGTCTGGTGGAGATGGAATGTTTTAAAAACCTGTTGGCAGGGCCGGTGCAAGGATTTTTGCCGCCCTAGGCAAAAGAAAGATTTGCCACCCCCCCTGGAACATCGCAATGCCCCACCCATATGAACTAATGCCAGTGCTGCACACAGTGTGTGTTTACATTAAAAAGTCTGCAGGGACAAACTATAGACACCAGAACAACTTTATTAAGCTGCAGTGGTTCTGGGGAATATAGTGTCCATTTAATGTGAGGTAAATTAGAGATTAGTGTCACTAATAATATACTAGATTGCCTACTTACAATCAGATGAGGATGGTGATGGGCTCTGGCTGCAGTCTGGCTCCACTGGTCTGGTGTAGAACAGGATCTCTGGAGGCTGTTTGTAACTGTGGTCACAAAATTCAATGTTCTGGGAGAACGGGAAGCAGCTCCATTTTTGGGGGCCTCTTACATAGCTCAAGGTCTGGGCCCCAGGGCCTGACGGTGAGTATGCCCATAAAGCCCACCCATAAGGCCACTTACATGTTCCACCCATGAACTCACAGGGAGTAGAGTGTGTAGGGGATGTGTTATGTGTTACTGTAGAGGATCTAATGTGTGTGCTTACGGAATGTAGTGTATAGGGATACCAGTTTGTGTAGGTGATGCAGTGTTGTTTGTGTAAGGGATAGAAAGCAGTGAGTGTTTGTGTATAAGGGATGTATTGTGTGTTTCTTGTTGTGTGTTAGGGATGCATTGTGTGAATCTGTGTTTGTATGCATAAGGGATGCAAAGTATGTTTCTGTGTATGTAAGGGATGCAGTGTGTGTGTCTGTAAGGGGTGTGTTGAGTGTGTGTAAGAGATGCATTGTGTTTCTGTGTTTGTGTGTAAGAGAAACAGTGTGTGTTTGCATGTGTGTGTAAGGGATGCATTGTGTGTGTTCTGTGTATATGTGCAAAGGATGCATTGTCTTTATGTGTAAGGGTTGCATTGTGTGTTTCTCTGTGTGTAAGGGAAGCATGTTGTGTTACTGTGTGTATAGGGATGCATTGTGTGTGTGTGTGTGCGCGTGTGGTGTGAAAGAGCTCCCTGTCCCCCTGTCCTATAGAGCTCTCCCTTCCATTCCTTAGAGATCTCCCCTGCCCCTTAGTGGTCTCTCCTCTCCCCCCGACCTCCCTTAGTGGTCTCCTTTTCTCCCCGACTTTCCACTAGTAGTCTCTTCCACCTTGCACATGCTGGAGAGACTGTGCGAGCAGCAGCAGGCGATAGTGGAGTTTCAGCTGCAGAACGCACGGATCAGTTACTCTGCGGAACAGCAAGTTCTTTGGAATTTTCCCACGCTGTGTAATTTGACTCATAACACTCAATTTTCATAATAACTCATTCAATTTTTATTTGGCCTTTTTTGGGGCTGAAAAAGAAGATTTTAGAAGAAAGAAAACATCAAATGGTAAGTTTATTTTTATTTTTACAGGTACTTATTTATAGGTCCCACCCCCATATTATTTGTAGGGTGAGGGGGGTAGGTAGGGGTTAATTTTTGGGGGGATGGGGTGGACAAGGGGTTTGGGGACCCCTAGTCACCTGTGGGGAGGGGGGTTACATTTGTATTTAGGGCCCCCACCTGCCGCTCAGGGGTCGGGGCCAGGGGGGAGGACATTAGGTCCCCCCCCAATTTGTGTTTAGGGCCCCCACCCATCGCTCAGGGGTGGGGGCCAGGGGGAGGAGGACAATAGCCCCCCCAATTTGTATTTAGGGCCCCCACCTGCCGCTCAGGGGTGGGGGCCAAGGGGGAGGACAATAAGTCCACCCCCAATTTCTATTTAGGGCCCCCACCCATCGCTCAGGGGTGGGGACCAGGGGGGAGGACATTAGGTCCCCCACAGTTTGTATTTAGGGCCCCCACCCACCGCTCAGGGGTGAGGGCCAGGGGGGAGGTCATTAGGTCCCCCCCCCACCGCTCAGGGGTGGGGGCCAGGGGGATGACAATAGGTCCCCCCCCCAATTTGTATTTAGGGCACCCACCCGCCGCCAAGGGGGAGGAAATTAGGTCCCCCCCCTTATTCTGGTTTAGGGCCCCCACCCACCACTCAGGGGTGGGGGCCATGGGGGAGGACATTAGGTCCCCCCTTATTCTAGTTTAGGGCCCCCACCCACCGCTCAGGGTGGGGGCCAGGGGGAGGACATTAGGTCCCCCCCAATTTTTATTTAGGGCCCCCACCCGCCGCTCAGGGGTGGGGGCCAGGGGGGGCAATAGTTTAAAAGCTCAGGAGGGGGGACCACAGGCTGCTCACTGTTTAATAGACATGCCCCTACTCGCAGTATAGCGAGTAGGGACAATATTTACTAATACTAAGTAATTTTTACTTAGTATTAGTAAATGTGGCTGAAAGACCAATTTAGGTCTTTCAGCCTTGTGGTAGATAACTCCCTAATACTGTGGGAATTAGGGAGTTATCTACCAAGCGGCTGCAAGAGAAATGCCGAAGTTGCCAAAGTGCCGAAGTACCAAAGTGCTGAAGTTCTGAAGTGGCCAAAGTTCTGAAGTGGCCGAAGTGACGAATTGCCGAAGTCCCGAATTTCGGAATGCCGAACCGAGCCGAATATTTTCCCCATGCACATGCCTAATATCATGTGTCTTATGTAAACCTTAATAAAATATTGATTGATAAAAAATAGAAAAAGGAAAGTACTAGCACTTCATACAACAGATTTACGCACAAGAAAATGTACAGCGCATAAATATCCCACCATTTTAAGGCCTTCAACAATGATTGGAGGTAGTCAGATACACCAATCTGCTCCCTCCTGGTGTCACGACGCTTGTTGGTAGCCCAAACTCTACCTGAATACCTATGGTGACTGTTCTGCTCCTGGAAAACTACAACAGAGCAAGCCTATAAAATAGGCATTCTACAGGACCACAATCTTCTCCACACCCCACCGAAAAATCAGTACAAGTAGCATTTCACCCAAGGGGTCTTTGTAAAATACACAATTTGTGTAACACAAAGACCCTAAGAGTGGCAGTACTTCTTTAAGTACTTTTTTAAATCAAATGGAAAGTTACATCGAAAAATACTTTAAAAAAAGAAGCTCTTTTATGAGACAGAAAGTGCCACTTCTGTTGTACTTAAAAGCAAACATAATATATTGACAGTAATGTACTTTTTTCATGCAATTCTGCCTTATTTATTTCAGTTAAAAGAATTAAAAATTCTGCTTATTTTTTTTATTTATTTTTTACATTTAAGTTAGGCCAGGTGTTTAACAAGAACTACACGCGTATCAACAGCTATATCCACACGTGGTGGCTTCGCCACAAAACAGTCCGGTGCCCAAGCGCGGTGTGCAGGATGCACCCCGGAGAACATTGTGCTATGCAAATCAGCCCACATCCACCGTCTCCTCAATTTACATACTGGAAACTTAAAAACATCTGTCAGCGCCCGAGAGATGAGTGCAACAAATTCGACACACGCACTTCTGTGGAACTGAGAGCAAGATCCTCTTTGCAGAGCGAAGCCACAATTATAGCTACCATATGCAGAAGGAAATCTGTTTTCATAGATAGAGAACTACTAGCAAGCTACAAGAGTAGACGCATTTAAAAAAAAAAAAAAAAAAGCTCTGTTGTCCTGCATAGGTGACCTTTGGACCATTGCACAGAGCACACAGTGTCCCCTCTCTCAGCTCTATAAGTAAACAATTCCCGCTCTGGTATAGTTTTATTTATTTATAAAATATTTTACCAGAAAGGATACATTGAGATTTCTCTCGTTTTCAAGTATGTCCTGGGTATTGATAAATATGCTGATTTGTGCCCGTGTGAATACGCATAATATACACACACCATACATTTATTTAATGCATGCACATGATGAATCTTGTAGGGCCTCTTTATCAGTCGTCAAATACATGGCTAACGAGAAATCACTGTGCATTAAATGTTGTGTAATAGAAAATATTTGTCGCTAGTTGACCAATTAAATTGCACATTTTATAGGAATAAGATAGCAGAGAACTGTAAGCTCCTTGTGTCAGTATTTAATATTAACACAGGATTGAAAGCTTATTGGTACAAGTTATCCATTGTACCTGTAGATTGTATGCTTGTTTGTACAGGATATCCAAGTATATCAGTGAATTGTAAGATTCTTTTGGGGTTATCTCCCATTGTGCAACTAGGATGCAATATATAGATACTGTGGCAGCCTCTCGCATTGTAAGACTAGATGTTAAAGCGACACTGTCTCCCACACACACAAAATTTGTATTTCATAAACATAGAATCTTTGTGAAATACTTGTATTGTATTTCACTGAAATTCCAACCCAGTAAAGAGATATACTCAGACAAACTAGGGACTGCTTTGTCTCTGTATATTTCCTATGCCTGACCCTTCTAGACACTGGGCAGAGCTACCGCCGTCTAGAAATGTCAATCCCTCATGCATGTGCGAGAGTACTGCAGTGACGTCAGCTTATGGCAGCTGAAGGGTCAGGAGAAAAAAAAAGGGACTGGCCAAAAGAGGATGACGCCGCCGCAAGGGACAGGCTCAGATAAGTAAAAATCTGGGGTCTTTGCAAATTACGCAAAGGAAAACTTATAGGCACCCAGACCACTTTGTCTCACTGAAATGGCTCTGGAAGAACTCTTCCTGTCTACTTAACCCTGTGATCTAAAACACAGCAATGACAGAGAGACTGCAATGTTTATATTGCAGGGTTAAGACTGCCTCTAGTGGTGCTTCTTACGGGTTACGTTCTCACGGTTTGTATAAGGACATCCAGCATCTTCAAATCCCCCATAAGAAAGCATTTTATCAAAGGGAAAGGCTTAATGCGCATGTGGCACTGGACGCGCATGTGCATTACATTCCCCCCTCGGCGCTGACTTTGAAGGAGGAAGAGATGGAGCACGCAGACCTCGGCCCTGGAATAAGATGAGTGTAAAAATTATTATTATTTTTTTTCTGCCAGCGGGATGAAGGGGGCTGCAGAGGAACGCTTGAGTATGAGTAGTACAGTTTTATATTCCTAACACTTTAGTGTTCCTTTAAGCATTTTGTGGCAGGTACTCCTATAAGAACATGAAACTGTATGGTCCTATAGAATACTGGATATTAAAGGAGAACTGTCACTTTTTACATTACTTGTTACCTCTTTGAATAAAAACATTGAAAATCATCTATAACTTGTGTTAATTGATTTTTTCATAAACTGATCTTTTTTTCTTACATTATTTCTTACAAGAGTTAGCAAATAATATTATGATCCAGTCCAGACAAGGCAAAACAAAGGGGAAAAGTGCAAATGAAGAGGAGAAATAGCAACATTCTCTAATTCCCCCTCTTCTCTGTATGCTTTCTCTATGCTGACTGCCAGGAGCAAAGAACTGACCTTATAACGACAATTGACAGGGAGCTAACGTGGAGTAGCCCCTTTACAGGATAAAGTCGTGTGGATTTCTACTTTTAACTGTATTTTCCCCATGATATCAGTTGAATAGAAGATCAAATAAACGTAAGATTCAACATTTTGGGAAGTGAAAGTTCTACTTTGAAATCTTTTGCGCATAGTGCAGGTGCGGAGAGCAGGTCTATTCTCATATCATTTAGATACGTAACAAACACAAGGTATGTATTGTTCAATAATGCAGCACCGCTATTCGATTATAGAGATAACCCAGGGTACTTTTGAAAGTTGCTACAATAAGCAAAACAGAAAAAAAAAGCTGTAATAAATAGGCTTAGTGAGAAAAGCGAGGGAAGTCCATCAAAACACAGCAAGGACAAATGCTAACAATTTAAGAGTGGCAGTAAGCACGGGGTCTGCTATGGTTATAAGCCACAAGTTGAAGTTCAGCGTTACCTGGTTTGGGACACAGGGATTCCTGAGTGTCCGTCACTGACAGTATCCCAGCACAGAGAAGCACCAACCAGGAATCTCGCCAGCCTGCGCCTCCCATTATCATGACATGAAGCTGTTGGGATTCTTCAGTTATTGGCCCTTTTAATCTGTCCTCTTCTCATTTCAGTCTTCTAGCAAAGTGCTGAAGCACTGCCGTCTAATGCAGTCCCATTTTTCACAATTCTGTGAGCAGTCTCTCGGATTGTCAGGCTTTGTGCTGCTCTCTCTTCATCCAGCTCACAGTCCCTTGTTCTGCTGTGAAGCCACTCACTTCTTACATACCTTAGACTTGAATCTTTCTCTTGCCAGCGGACTCTGCCTCTGACTGTCTCTCTAGCTCGCTGCACTCATATATTCTGTATTTATAGTCCGAATTTACCACTTCTCCTTTTCAAGCTCTCTCTATCGCTATCCCTGTGAAATTTCTGCCCTTTATTTTCTCACTAACCCTTGCCCATTTAGAATCCTCTTGCTTCGTGTCCGATACATGGCAGCCTTAGATTCTTTGGATTACCTCCTATGCCTCTGTCTGTTAGTGCTCTCTGCACTTTGTAACAGTCAAAGCACAGCCCACTACTCTCTGATTAAACACATGGGCTGACAGTAATATACTGAGGAAGAAGCAACTTAAAGTGAAGTTCCATGAGTCATTGTACAATCTGTTAACTGATTGAATAACAAAGATCAGGGAGAGAGCACGGTACACAGATAATGGCACAGAGAGGTAAAAAAGTACTTTAAAAATTTGGACCTTTAGAGGAGACATCACTTCATACATCTCTATGAAGGCTGTAGAGAGGTAGTGATAGTACTTTATAGATCCCTGGTAAGATCTCACCTAGAGTATTGTGTTCAGTTCTATAGAGCAGATCTCCAGGAGGATATAGAGAGGTAGTGATAGTACTTTATAGATCCTTGGTAAGATCTCACCTAGAGTATTGTGTTCAGTTCTATAGGGCAGATCTCCAGGAGGATATAGAGAGGTAGTGATAGTACTTTATAAATTCCTGGTAAGATCTCACCTAGAGTATTGTGTTCAGTTCTATAGAGCAGATCTCCAGGAGGATATAGAGAGGTAGTGATAGTACTTTATAGATCCCTGGTAAGATCTCACCTAGAGTATTGTGTTCAGTTCTATAGAGCAGATCTTCAGGAGGATATAGAGAGATAGTGATAGTACTTTATAAATTCCTGGTAAGATCTCACCTAGAGTATTGTGTTCAGTTCTATAGAGCAGATCTCCAGGAGGCTATAGAGAGGTAGTGATAGTACTTTATAGATCCCTGGTAAGATCTCACCTAGAGTATTCTGTTCAGTTCTATAGAGCAGATCTCCAGGAGAATACAGAGAGGTAGTGATAGTACTTTATAGATCCCTGGTAAGATCTCACCTAGAGTATTGCGTTCAGTTCTATAGAGCAGATCTCCAGGAGGATATAGACAGGTAGTGATAGTACTTTATAGATCCCTGGTAAGATCTCACCTAGAGTATTGTGTTCAGTTCTATAGAGCAGATCTCCAGGAGGATATAGAGAGATAGTGATAGTACTTTATAGATCCCTGGTAAGATCTCACCTAGAGTATTGTGTTCAGTTCTATAGAGCAGATCTCCAGGAGGATATAGAGAGATAGTGATAGTACTTTATAAATCCCTGGTAAGATCTCACCTAGAGTATTGTGTTCAGTTCTATAGAGCAGATCTCCAGGAGGATATAGAGAGGTAGTGATAGTACTTTATAGATCCCTGGTAAGATCTCACCTAGAGTATTGTGTTCAGTTCTATAGAGCAGATCTCTGGGAGGATTTAGAGAGGTAGTAATAGTATCCTCTCCCTGCCTCCACTACTTCTGATGGGGAGCAAGAAGTCTCTAAGCAAGAGCTTATTTAGCCCTGCTGTGCTAAGCCTTACAGTAGAGGGCTTTGCTCGGACAGTCAGCTTCCAGTGGAGTGCAGTGGATTCGAAGAGAAGTGCCTGGTGGACCCCGGGTAATAAGTCAAACCATCAAAAATAAAACTGACAAGTTGCACTATATCCACTACTGTCAAGTGTGGCGGTACGGAAACTGGGTCCCCTGACATATGGCCGGAGGAAAAACATGGAGTTCGTGGAGTGGACTTTGCAGCTTTCCACCTGCCTTAGCTATTCTGGTTGCAAGAGATCCTGTAGATGGACCAGTCTGCTGGAAATGGCTTCCTCGTTCCTGTTCAATTAGTCTGATTCATGTTTTTTGAGGAGGTCGATCTGCCAAGTGGTTTGGTGGTCTCTACAGGTGCCCTCTTGCTATATTTGGTTCCTGGCTGGTGCTTCCATTGCAGGAGACCTCTCTGGTGGGGGATCATTGCCTTCGGGAAAGTCAAGAGGACTTCGCTGCAGGATCCTAGCTCTTTTTATGGTCTCTGCCTGGGCGCTGCTGGGAGCATCCAGAGTTGCTCCTTAGGAGGTGTTTGGTGGCTCCTGGTATAGATTGGATCTGAATTCCTGGCTGGTGCTTCCATTGCAGGAAACCTCTCCTGTGGGGGATCCTAGCCTTCGGGAAAGTCAAGAGGACTTAGTTGCAGGATCCTCGCTCCTTTCCTGTCTCTGCCTGGAGCGTCCAGAGGGCGCTCCTTAGGAGGGGAGTAATGTTACATCCTGTTCCTGCTGCAGATCATTTCTGGCCATGGCTTCTAGTATCCAGTACTCTTTTTACAATTCTTGTTTAGTTTTTCTTGGTTTTTTTTCTGGTTTTCTTTATGTTGGGTTTTCTGGGTTCATTCTTGTATTCTGTTCTTGGAATTCCCAGTCTCTTGGATTCCTTTAAAGTTTGTTTTATGTTGCCACACCAGTTCCTTTCCCATTAATCCTTTTTGTTTCAGTTGGTTCCTGCAGGCAGTTGCTCCAAGTCCTCTGCCCCTTTCTTGCAGGTAAGTGCTGTGTGTGTTTTATTATTGTTTATTTAGTCATGCATATCTAGGCAGTATAGGAACCCACCGTAATTGGAGTACTTTGACGCAGTGGTGGGCTGCATACATCTTGGCCGTTTATGTATGTCTAAATCTCCAATGTTTATTGCACATATTAGTACTTAGTTATGTCTCCTCTTGTTTTGCCTTATATATCTTGTCTTGTTTTATTTTGTATTCCCAGTCCATGTACAGTCCTGTCCTGCCTTGTTCTGGTTTTCACTCATGTTTTGTGTACATGTTCTGGATTCTGCTTTCTATCCTTCTCTGGTTCTGGGTTCATCTAGTATTGTCTTATCTTGTTTGGTGCCCGTTCTAGTCTTGCCTTGTTTCAGTACTCGATACATATCTGCTGCAAAGCCTCCTTATCTAGACCAGGGAGGTCTGCATATTTTCTCCTGGTTCCTGGGATCCGCAAAGGCTGCATAAGGGCCCTGGTATGTGGCTGCACAAACCCTTGTGCTCAGCACCAGGGGGCGTGTGGTTACCCTGCACCAGGCCCTGATTGTTTCATTTCCACGAGATTGACTCCGATCATCATCAGACACACAGGGTTCCAGGTTTCCGTACCGCACCCGTGACAACTACAGCACACTCTTTTTTTTACAGAAAAAACAAGAACTTAGCTTAGGAATTCTAGAGAAGTGACCATTGCTTTTTCCTTCAACCCAGTAAATATTTGTTTTTGTTTTTTAATTACCCTTAATTATTATGTTGCTTTGAGTGCATGCATGTTTGCATAGCCGCATCCACTCCCTGTGGCTGTTTGTTTTTTAAATAATTAAAATCAATAATAACATTAGTCCGGTGCTTGGACTCCCCAAAGCAGGAAAGGTACTCCTGGTGAAGTCATCAATCCGAATGACTCTTGCCCAATCAGACGCTTCTCTAAGCGAAGTAATGAAGACATATGGGTCAGGTGTGGAAATTCCTGCAATCCAATTTATTGGCTTTTGTGGGGAAGCTCTGGTTATAATGCTTCTGAACGAGAAGCATTATTTGAGCCCTATGTAATCACACCCCTGAGAAAGGCAGGTGGCTCGTGTTCTGTCCTCTTGGGCTTGTGAAAATTATGGTAATTACCATTGTATAAAGTGCCTTGCCTTGTTTTTGTCCATGAGTTTGGTATATTGTTTATTTTGTTTTATTTGTTTGAATAAAGGATTTTTTAGTCAAATTGACTTTGCAGTGGTTATAGTGTGCATTCTAATTCTTTGTATATTACATGATGACTGTGAACATGAACTCCTTAGAAGATCAAAAGACGTAAAGAGGAAGCAGTTATAGTGGCTGAGAAGTGTTTTCGGGGGAGATGTAAACAATGCCATTTTCCAGAAATGGTAATGTTTTACATTAAGAAAATAGATAGTATCTGTGCACCAAAGCCAATGCATTAATATGTAATAAACGTTCAACTCTTTCATTATCTAACATTAGGTTAGGATTTGAGGATAACCCAGTGCACAAATTTGGTATTGACTGTTTATCCCACCTATGCTAAATCTTAGAAATCCTTAACTGATCATTGGCCCAGTTCTGAAGTAGGCTTGTATAAGAATTATGAAAATTTGTAGAAAGCACATGGTTATTCCCTAACTTCCGAAATAATTATAGCAGACCTGAGGCTACAATAGCGAAGTTGAAGAATGTCTCCAAATCAGCTGTTTCAGCCTCATGTTTGCTAAGATTTGGAATTTATTGAATAACTTTTGGAGTGTTAGCAGTCCAGACATTCTCCCATGTCTTTGCAATAACAGACAGAGCTATTCACTGAAGTAAGAACTGTTAAAGTGTATTTAAAATTTAAGGTCACAATAGCCAAACTGTAAAAATTCTGAAAGCCAGTTATGCTGCCAGTTCAGCTATTTCGGGCAAAAATTCTGAATTCGCTTTCATATCCTGACAATTCTCCATTTTGTTTGCTGATTTTTTTAAGCATGTTTGGTCATTAATGATAAAATCTTCCTGATCATAATTTGCGTCGGGAGATATATATATATATATATATATATACACACACGTTTTTTAACTTACCGGAGACTCATTGGAGCACCAGTGGCAGCAGAAGTCATATTCAGCCATTCAATTCAATGTTTGTTGGGAGATGTTATAGCATGGTGGTAACTGTTAGAAACTGCTGTAGAAACTATGGTGCACAAGGCTTCTCGAGAGGAGGTTTGCAAGACAAAAGAAAATAGAAATTAGTATGTCTCCCAAAAGATGGTAAAATCAGATAAAGGAAAGGTAGCGCCATAAGAATATAAAGGTAGTATACTACTATCACATATGACAAACTGGAGAAGTAGAAAATATATGCACAATAGTTAAAAAGTCCAAAACTAAAACGTCTGTAAGGTGGATAAATCCAGACTTGGAAACCTGTCCGTTGAGGATGGTACAGTCTTGATAGTAGGTGTAGTCCTCAATGTAGTATAAATAAATCCTTGAAGTTCATATGAAATAGATAAAGATGACAACTAATGGTGCAGTATGTCCCAAAATAGGGGTTAAATACAGTATAGAAAATCTATATGGTCCTACTCATGTTTGATAGAGCTATCTACTTAGCTCTAGTGTTGATAGCGTACAGTGGTACAATCCCCACTTATAGGATACGTGTGGTCTATGTAGTCTTGCTTGATATAGGAACCACATAAAAAATAAAAGAGACAGCAATAGTTCTTAAAGTATAAAAACCAGAGGTGAGGTACCCACAAGATACACGAGACAGCCTCAAGAGGAGGGAGAAGCCCAGTTGCTATAGGGCTTTTGCTCTTTAACAAAAAGCGCAAAGAGAACGCAATAACACTATAGCAGTAATCTGTAAACAAGGAGGGGGGAAGTTAGGCGCTCACTATAATATATAACCTATAATAGTAATGGGCAGCAGTAACCAATACAAGGATTCCCAAAACTTGTAAGTATAAGAGTATAGAAAAGGGTAGAAGGAGACCATGCCCCAAACAGTATAATTTGAAAATTGTATACGTACACAAAAACTAGAGCTACATATATCCTTAGACGGGGATTGTTCCGTCCATGCATATTACAGCAGAGCTCTAAGATAGCTCTAGCAAATGTGAGTGATATTATGTAAGATTACTCTAGCACTCACCCACTGGACATACCATATTGCACTATTGTTTTTCTTTGTCTCTTTTGTTTTTGAGGTCTTCTGTATATACAACTTTAAACGATTTGTGTACTTCCACAATTTTCAAATTATACTGTTTGGGGCGCGGTCTCCTTCTACCCTTTTCTATAGCAGTAATCTGAACGAACACCCAATAAGACGAAGGGACAAGATCTGTTGTCTGATTTTTTATTTATTTCTCTTATTCATGTTCAGGTTTTTAAAGTATACACTATAAAACAAACAAAAAACCTTGTCAGCAGAAATGTCTCCAAGTTACTCAGAAGAGCAGGGATTACATCCCTCGAACAACAAAACAAAAACTGCCAATTTCCTGGCAAGTAAATTGTATCTGATGTGCCAACTGCAATCTTTGACCTGTGTGTCGTATCATAACATTGTTGTATGGATACTTTGCTTTAAGACAAAAATAAAGAATTAAAAAAATAAGAATAAAAGATGCATTAGACAGACGTAGAAATTTTAATAAATAACACAAATCTCAATTAATTAAAAAAAATCATACATAAAGTATATGTAAAGATTTTCCTACTTTGAGAGCTAAGAGTACATTTTCCATCCTAGTTAGTTTCATTTAACTTGTGAGCATTTGCATAGGATAATACCCCATCTACTGAAAAAAAATTACATGTTAAATTAAATACTTTCATTTCTACAGTGTGAATGTTTACACAAATGTTTTGGAAATTTACAAATTCATTGTTGCATTATAGGAAAAAATATTGGTTTTGTTAAAGGTAGGAGATTAAGCTTTAAGGAATCTGTGTGTTCCTAAAGAACCATGTAACACATTTTAGAAGAGTTTTAGAAGAAACTCACAATCAAACACTACATTTATCCCAGTCCCTACCTGTACACTTTTCCTTGTTTACTCGTTTCCTATTTGGGGTTACCCCCCATCTCTTATTGTACCAGGTATTGGCTCTATACCAGTTCTTCTTCTTTCAACATACATGTAAAAATTCTAAATGAGCAAGACAAAATCAATACACAATTTTTTGAAGTCATAAAACTATAATAAAGTTATTTTAATATTTTTGACAGTCCATGCCTGTTGCCTCCCTCTGCTACCTATTAAACATTTTCGTGGATTAATTTCTGCTGTACAGCATGTTCTCTAATGTTTGAACACTGATTTTGTTGGAGGTAACAATAAATATAAGTTTCATTTTAGCAATAATTTCCATTTTCATTTCTGCAAGTGGTTGTGTAGGTAGGGCACCAGTGCACTGCTTTGCCAGTGGCCTATAATGCTGTTAAGATGGCCCTGTATGGATGCTTGTGACAAGTCCTATGGAAACAAACAATAAGCACGAGTTCCAATATGTCTAGCGTCAATCAGACTCTGACTCTATATTCACTCCACCTCCTTCCATGACAGCCAAGACCTGTGTTGTCTTTCATGTGGCACAATGCCTGGTGGCTTTACCATCACAGTCGATGGGACAGTGAATAGTCCATGTTTATGGTGTACACCGGATTTTCCTTCTTGTTCTCTGGTAAGGCATTCACCTCTAAAGTCTCTTCTTCATTTTCAGACTCAGGGTGGTGGAACTCCACAAAAATCTGATATAGGAAAGAACCCAAAAGTGCTCCCACACAAGGTGCCACAACAGGGATCCACCACCAGTAGTTACCAGCTCTACGGGAGAGACAGATATTACATGCCGTTTGTTAGATTGTAGCTCTAAATTATCTTTTCTCCTCAGTTATCTCTACGCACCAAAGGCTTATTTTATAATTATTTTCTTGCAGATGCAGAAGATTGTAGATATCTTGTCTAAGCAAATCTGTCATAACAAACTGATTTATTTCTAGCCTGTGATTATATTAAATATTCATGCAACCTTATCTGTCATCTGATCAAATAATAAAAAAAGAACAAACAAAGCAAGCACATTATGAATTAAGATGTGTTAACAATTCAGACTACAAGAGCAATGGTCAGCAGCAGAACCAAAATTCGACTTACCTGAACACTTCTGACCCCCATCCTGCCACATAGGTGAAAAGCCGTGGACCTAAGTCACGAGTGGGGTTGATTGGATACCCACAGTTGGAACCCATTGAAAGACCAATGGAAAAGACCAGCATGCCAACCACAACAGGTTCTAGACCCTTCGGAACTGGCTTATTTCGTGCATCCACGATTGCTAGAATTCCTATCATTAGCATTGATGTTCCGATCACCTGTGGTCAAAATCACAACAGTTATATCCATTCAAGATGCCCAGCTTTTATAAAAAGAAGCAAAATATCTACAACTGTATATACACTCACACACTCATAAAACGTTTAGTCTATAGTATGTCCTCTAGGCAATTAGTCCACAGTTTTCTTCACAGTAGTCAGAAGCAGACAAGCAACAATTAGCAGCAGTTGTTTAAATATATGTTCCAGGAACTGGTGGACTGGTGATCTTCTCAAGATTCGAATTAGCTAACTCACAATCTTACAATCATCAACCTGATACCTACTTTCATGACCTGGAAATATTGATACATGTTTAGGGTAACTGTATGTAGTTCATGGCATAGTTAGATGATGTAGAGAGACTTCATGCTCTGATATTAATTTAGCCACTTGTATTTTGCACTAACATGATCCATCATTCCATCTATAACCTCAAATATTGAATTAACGGTTTAACCATTTTATTAATTTATTTTTTACTGATATTAATCTAAAATGTTGGTGTTCAATTTTTCATTTACTTTAACTTCATCAGAAGAATCAGAAGAAGTTCATAGGTATTTTAGATTACCTGGTCCAGAAAACCATTGCTGAGGCTGAGATATGGGGCTGGATATGAAGAGAATATTGAAGCTGTCTCCCTGGGTCCGTAGACTGTTAGGTTACCTTTTGTGTAATCTTGGATGGCGTCTGAAACAACAACAATAGCATGGTTTGCTAATTTATATTATTGAATATTTATGGATTCAGGTGTGTATAAAGCATACTATGAGAGCTTATAGATTAGCTATATCTGATATAGGATAAATGTGGCCTCACCGTAATATAAAGCGAATACTGCGGCCGCTCCTGTAAAAGAGCCCACCAGTTGGATTAGAGCGTAGAGGGGCAGCTTTGTCCATGGGAATCGGCCAAGGGCACATAGGCTGAGTGTGTACGCTGGATTCAAGTGCCCTCCTAACGAAAGGTTATCACATGTCAACAGGATATTATAGAAGAAGCTAATAGTGATCCCACATAACATGTTCAACTTGGTATTTATGAGAATTAGGGGTTCCATGCCATCAATAATCACAAATAAGCCCACCAAAACTCAGTAAAACATTGTGTGGACAAGACTTTCATAAAAAATAAGAGTTTGCAACTGAGCAGAGTTCTCAACCTATAAGTATATATACCTCAGGGACTTAGGTACTTATTTAGAATTTTAGTTCATAAATCCTTACTCACCCTTATATAATCTAGTTATGATTACCAGCTTGTAGAAAAACAAATTACTAGAAGTCACTAGTCATTAATTCAGTGCCTGTAAAGTTGCTCTCAAATAGAATGTTTGAATGGGTCATATAATTCCAGACAGGAAGGGGAGTGAATGTTAGAATTACATTATCATTCCAAAGAGTGATAAAGATTGCTATAGCAGTTTTAAATTACCTTTATTGTTATTTATTTTTAAATGTATGATTTCAGTGTATTTACTTTATGTAGTCATTATGCGCAAATGCAGACATTTGTCTTACATTCTGTTGCCATTTTTAGTGAGCTGCACTGATAGCAATACCTTCAAGGTCCTTACAAATACCTATAAGCAAAGTAATTGAAAATATTTATCTATTTTTGTTGTATCTTCTGTATTAGAGAAAATTGAATTTTTGTTTTTATACAAATTTTTCAGACCTGTGTACAATATTGCAATATAACGGTCGCTGTGCACTGTTCTTTTAATTGTCAAAAGCCTGGATAAATTGAAAGAAAAAAGAGGCTGAGGGGGTGGGGGAACAAGGAGACACATGTAAGGGCTGGGTGGGCATAAGACACATGAAGGGGGGGCAGGGTAATTCTTGCACCAGGGCCTGGTGGTTTCTAGTTATGCCTCTGGTTAGCTATCTACGGTTTGCATCATGTATATGCTAAGCAAATCATTTTTTTAATCAAAAAGTGCTGAGTAGAGAAGGGGTTATTAAAAATGGGTCACTCCCAAGGCACTAGAGAGGACAAAAACAAAAAGTTTCATCATTCCAAACCCCATTTTATCATCTGGCACACTGTGTTTAGTGGAAGTGACTTTCACACACATTAGAGTCTGGTACCTGAGACACCGCCAGATACATAAATGGCCATAACCACCGCTATTGCCCCCGCCAGGTACATGCAGAAGAAATTTCCTTTGGTGTTCTGGCTGGTGACTCCCTGAGCTGTAGCTGCCACAGTGATCAGCTGGGGAATGAGAATAAAAAGACCAGGAGAGTATTATGAGCAATATGAAGAACAGAACACAAATTCAGAGGCAAGAACAATAGGTTTCCCATCAAATGTAATACTCAATAATTTGCCTATTAATAATAAATTCAGCAAAGGTGCAGCACCAATCTCATTACCTTAACAACTGAGATGACAGCTAGTGTTCATACAATGACAGCAATATAGAAAACCAGGACAATACTCAAAATATGGAGCCAGGGGAATTCAGATGTCAAAGAGACACTATAGTCCCAAAACAACGTTATCTTAATGAAGCAGTTTGGGTGTGTTGATCATGACTCTGAAGTTTTACTGCTCAATTCTCTTTTTTTTGTTTGGAGGGGGGAGGGCGAGGATGGACCGCCATGATGACTGGTCGCATGTTAGATCAGCTACTGAGGGCAGCAGTCTTTTATCACTAATAACAGGGCAGTTTTCACCCCTCATGTGTCAGAAATCTGAGGCTGGTGTTGTTCCTGCACTTGGGAATGGGCATTTTGGCTCCTTTGAGGGCAATTCAAGGCCTCCTGAATTGCGGCCAACTCGGGCTGGGAGTGGGGCAGACGACTGCTGCCCTTTTCTATTGCTCACCTGCTATACACTGGCTCCTCGACATAACCTGTTGCTGGTCTAGTTCCCCCCCCTCCCCCCCTGGACCGGTGGGGGTTATCCTGGTCCCCACTTGGTCCGCTAAGCCTGTTCCGAGAATATTGGATGGGGGAACCCTGCAAGCCACACGGCTCACCCAAGATGGCTGCCGCATTGAAACTGCAGCATAACCAACAGAGTCTGACAGGCCAAGATTGGAGAGAAGCCTTCAATAAAAGATTTGAGGCAATCTGTCAGGCCTTTTGGGACCGTCTTGCCAAGCGATAACCCTAACTTCTTCTCCTCCCCGGAAGCAGTTCCAGCTGCCTGTTCCTCTTCTGGGCTGGGCGCCCGAATGGAGTTCTCTCCAAGCCGCAGTCCATATACCCGCGGGGAAGCCTGCACTCTCAAAAAACCTGCGGGCCCACGATCCAGCCTCTCAAAGCAGGAGCATTCATGGACTACGGGCACTGACGCCATCCACGGCCCGGAGCTGCTGCACTCAGAGCTACTGACCACCCGCCTGCCGCACATACAGCACTGCCCGACATTCCCTGTGTGGAGCAGAGGGGACAAGACACCTGGCACGGAGACGGACTCTCTGCTATGGCCCGCAAGTGGTGTGGGTTGATGTCAGCCGACAATATCTGCTCCTGTACTTCGCATGTTGCCGGAAAAGGCTTAATTAATGTTATGCTCTGTGCTGATGTTTGCTAGTTTGCTTCCACTACAGCTCAGTGTAGTAGTTATGGTGCCAGTAGTGCCAGGATCCCACCCCAGTGTAAGTAGTCATACCATTTAAGAACAGTTTGACAACTTACCTGGGGTCTGCTGGCATATAGGGCATAGGAGCAGTGGTGTGTGTTAGGGGTGAAGTGTGTGAGCGGTGAAGTGTGAGTGCGGCAGTGTATGTCAGGGTTGCAGTGTGTGTGTGTGTGTGAGGGTGGCAGTGTGTGTATGGGAGCACTGAATGTGTTTTTGGGGCAGTGTGTGTATGGGGAGCACTGTATGTATGGGGGGGCACTGTATGTATGTGTGGGCACTCTGTGTATGGGGGGTCGTGTGTGTGGGGCAATGTGTGTATGGGGGGGCAGCAGTGTGTGTAGGGCACTGTATTTGTCTGTGTGTGCAGTGTGTGTATGGGGGGCAGTGTTTGTCGGGCAGTGTGTGTATGGGTGTGCAGTGTGTATGGGGAGCAATGTGTGTATGGGGGGCAGTGTGTGTATGGGTGTGCAGTGTGCAGTGCGTCTATGCTATGTATAGCCTATTCCTGACTAAGCGTAGATGTTTATTTTACTTAATCTAACCTTAAGAGAGGCTTGAGCAATCTTGTGACAACGAGCAACATGTTTATCTAGCATCATAAATTTTCCTACGTAGACCTAGCCTGTTTATTATATTGTAAAAAAAGAGTAGTTGTATCAAATGCTTTAACATTGTCTAATTCGAAACGCTTACATTGGCTATCGTGGCAATGTGAGCTTGCTGTAATCTTTTGCACTACAAAAACAAAGAATTATAAAAAAAATAATTAAAAAATCATTTTTGTTTCTGTTTATGCAGCCCTAGCCACACCTAGTTTGCATGAAAACAAAATGGTTTTATTTTATTTTTTTTATTCTTTATTTTTGATATGTAGGTAGGTACAACAGTGCCTGTGTTGCCACAACAGCATCAGCAGGCACGATTATAAACAGAGTAAAACAGTATTATGGCAAGTTTAAGTTTGCAATTTTTGTTTAAAATAGTAGAAATTCAAGGTATTCGCTTAGTGTAATGTAGCGTGTGTATTAAGGGGCATGAGGGGGATACACAGGTGAGTGTCTAATATGAGGAGGTCAGCCTACCCACTTTGTTATGTTGTAGAACGGGAGCCTGCATAGGTTGTAGTGCGTGTCTGCAAGTTATTCCTAGTGTCAGTGAGGTGCTCATGTTGGGGAGGCCTGTGGCAAAAGTGTGGGTCTACATGGTATTGCTGCACCTTAATCCCAGAGCCTGGGTGGGAGGGGGTGTTATTCTGTTTCTGTGTAGTTGCAAGCCATTTCAGCTATGGCTCTGCTGTGGTGTTCTGTGGTGTGTATGCCATGGGGGGTGGGGGGGTGGGAAGGGGAGGGTTCAACTGTGTCAGGGCGCAGAGCTGTCAGTGAAACAGTTGCGACATGTGAATTAATGTTTGGAGGAATGGAAAATTAGCAAAGAATATATAAGTGAGTATACAATGCAACAAAATAATAAATTGGTAGCATCTGAAGGAGGAGTGAGTTCTTAGTGTCTGGCATTGACATGCCCACATCTGGCTTGGGAAGCACTGTCATGCCTCTTCATTCTGGAGCCATGGGCCTTGCTGGGGTGAAAGGTGTGATGTTGGCAACATCCCAGTGATGTGCAGGACTCAACGTGGAGCTTGGGGCCAGGGGAATGCCCAGGGAGTGCAGAAACTGATCAACTTTTGCTGGCGAGGTCAGTCGTTGGTGGCGTCTGCCTTGTTCTGCGATAAGTGCTCTCGGGTATCCCCATGTATATGTGATGTGGGCTGCTCTCAGCTGCACTGTTACTCCTTCAGAGATGCGCGCCACTGCAGTGTCTGGCGGCTCAGGTCTTGGTAGAAATTTAGAGAGTGGTCTTCAAATGTAAGCAGGGTTTGTCCCCTAGTTGCGCTGAGGAAGCCCTCCTTGTCTGATCAAGATTTAAAACTCACGATAACATCTCTTGTGGTGTCAGTTTTGTTGCGTGGGCCCACTGGTATATGGAATAGGCCGTCTATAGTCAGGCCTTTGTCCTACTTGGGTGGCAGTATGGCCGAAAACAGTCTCTTAAAGAATTGCGGCAGTTCGTCTGCTGTCACCATGTCTGGGATCTGCCTCACCTTTAGGTTTAGCTGGCGTGCCATGTCCTCCAGCTGTCCCACTCATGCATTTAGCTGTGTGCACGTGGTTACAAGTTCCTGTGTCTGCTTGGATGTAGCGTCCTGTTGGTCCCTCAGGTCTTGTACTTCTTCTGTGGCCCTTATTCAGCCTGTCAGTGTGCCCAGTTCATTTTTCAGCCCAGTTAGTTCCGCCGTGAAAAAGGCCTTAAGATAAGTCTCCACGCCCGACAGATCTGCCTTAGTAGTCAGCAGGGGTTCCGATTGCCGAGGAGGTGCTGCTAGGATTCTCCATCGGGGTGTCGGAGTCGGCACATCACTCAGGTAGTCATCCTCTGAGACCGTTCGTGAATCCAACCCCAGATCTGGTAAAATGTCCGCCATCTTGGGCCTACAGGACTGGGACAGTAGTTGGCTGATGTCGTGAGTATGCCCTGTGCTCGGTCCTCAGGATTTCTTTGAGTGCTTCCCCATGCTGTATCGGGTCTCTCAGTGATCGTGTGTGCTGGGGTGAGGCAAAATTGGCCGTTTTTTCTGGTTGCTTTTGTCGGAGCTCAGGCACCATGTGTCTTGTCAGCTCGCCAGTTAGCTCTGCCCCCTAAAATGGTTTAATTTTTATTACATGTAACTTAATTTTAACGTTTCTCTCCTGCTCTGTAAATTGAACTTTAATTACATACAGAAGGATGCTGCAGGGTCAAACAAGCTATTAACAGAGCATGATATTAGAAATTTTAAATTAAACAGAATTTGTAATAAAGGAAGTGTTTAGAAAAGTCAAGAAGTGTTTAGAAAAGCTGTGCACATGCAGGGAGGTGTGAAAAGGGCTGCATAAACAAAGTGATTTAACTCCAAATGGCAGATAATTAAGCAGTGAGACTGCAGGGGCATGATACATATACCAATACTGCTTCATTGAACTCAAGTTGTTTTGGTGACTATCGTGTCCCTTTAATGTCAGGATGATATTGTTCAAATAATTATTGTTGGCACCCATACGTAATGTTCCACCAACCTGCCATCAAAAGCGTTGTTTATGGTACATATACATGATGAAACAGATCACTCACTGCTCACAACACGTGGGCTGAATCAGAGAGTGCTATAAGGGTTTGGGGGTTGACTCCTCAAGGTCTTGATCGAACCGTGCACATCAAGTGGATATATACAAAAAAAACCATTATTATTATTATTATTATGATATTTATAGAGCGCCGTCAAATTCCGCAGCGCTTTACAATGGGTGGACAAACAGACATGTAGTTGTAACCAGGCAAGTTGGACACACAGGAACAGAGGGGTTGAGGGCCCTGCTCAATGAGCTTACATGCTAGAGGGAGTGGGGTAAAATGACACAAAAAGCTAAGGATAGTATTAGACTAGTGACAGTTGCAGAAGATGAATCAGTCAGGAGTTATTAACAGTTTAATTCATACGCTTTTATGAAAAAGTGGGTTTTTAACGATTTTTTGAAGGAGTGGAGACTGGGTGAGCATCTAACGGAGGAGGGAAGCGAGTTCCACAGGAACGGTGCAGCCCTCTAGAAATCCTGAAGGCGAGCATCAGAGGTGAGAGTACGGACAGAAGATAGATGTAAGTCTTCAGCAGATCGTAAGGGCCTAGACGGGACATACTTGTGTATAAGGGAGGATAGATAGGTGGGAGCAGCATTATGTAGAGATTTGAAAGCAAGAAACAGAATTTTAAATTGAGCTCTATATTTTATAGGAAGCCAATGTAGGGACTGACAAAAGGGTGAGGCATGGGAGGTGCGGGCGGACAGGAAGATGAGCCTCGCCACCGCATTCATTATGCACTGTAATGGCGCTAGTTGGGAGCACGTAAGACCACTGAGAAGTGGATTACAGTAGTCAAGGCGAAAAAGGACAGTGGAATGGACCAACACCTTAGTCGCATCTGGCGTTAAGTAGGGGCGGATGCGCACAATGTTTTTGAGATGGAAATGACAGGATTTGGCGATAGATTGAACATGGGGCTTGAAGGAGAGGTCGGAGTCAAAGAGAACACCTAGGCAGCGAGTCTGCGTGGTGGAGCTGATGGTAGCACCGTTGATTTGGAGGGAGACAGACACAGGAGTAACAACACTTGAGGGAGGAAAGACCAGAATTTCAGTGTTGGTCAAGTTTAGTTTAAGGAAGTGGGCAGCCATCCAGTTAGAAACAGCAGAGAGGCAGTCAGAGACACTAGTCAAGAGGGACGGGGAGAGATCAGGAGAGGACAGGTAGATTTGCGTGTCATCAGCATAGAAATGATATTGGAAGACAAAGGAGCTAATGAGTTTACCAAGGGAGGCAGTATAGATGGAGAACAGTAGGGGACCAAGGACTGAACCTTGGGGGACACCAACAGAGAGGAGTTGGGAAGAAGAAGCAGAGCCAGAGAAAGAAACACTGAAAGAGCGCTGGGAGAGGTAGGAGGAGCACCATGAGAGAGCAATATCTTGTAGACCGATATTGCAGAGGATGAGAAGAAGCTGTTGATGATCAACAGTGTCAAAAGCCGCAGACAGGTCAAGGAGAATTAGGATAGAGTAGGGACCACAAGATTTTGCAGCGAGTAGATCATTGGATACTTTGGTCAGTGCCGTTTCTACAAAGTGCTTAGCGCGGAAACCAGACTGAAGCGGGTGTAGAAGAGAGTTGGACTCGAGGAAGTCTGTCAATCTCGCATACACAATTTTTTCAAGGATCTTGGATGCAAAAGGCAGTAGCGAGATAGGACGATAGTTGGATGGGGAGTTAGGGTCAAGATTGGGCTTCTTTAGAATTGGGGTTACAGTTGCATGTTTGAAGGTCAATGGAAATATACCAGAGGAGAGAGAGAGATTGAGAATTTTAGTGAGAGGTGGAGAAAGAGAAGAAGACAGAGTACGGATGAGATGCGAGGGAATTGGATCTAGGGAGCAGGTGGTGGGGCGGGAGGACTGGAGCAGAGCAGAAACCTCTTCCAATTTAGTGGGTGTGAATGAACATAGAACAGCAGAGGGAGTGAAGTTAGGGGAAGTTTTGTAAGGGGAAGAAGAAAAAGATGAGAGATCTCTTCTCTGATTGTAGAGATCTTGTCAGTGAAGTGAGTTGCAAAGTCTGAGGCGGTCAAGTTAGTAGGTGGAGGAGGAACAGCAGGGCGATGAAGAGAGTTAAATGTGTGAAATAGTTGTTTGGGTTCGCGGGAGAGTGTGGTTATGAGGGTATTGAAGTAATTAACTTTTGCAGGGGAAAGAGCCAAGCTGTATGAGCTCAGCATAAATTTATAGTGGAGAAAGTCAGATGCACAGTGAGACTTTCTCCAACAGCGTTCAGCAGTTCTGTAGCAGTTTTGGAGGTATCGAGTGAGCTTGGTGTGCCAGGGTTGTTGTTGGGGGGGGGGCTGCGGCATTTAAATGTACAAGGTGCCATGATGTCTAGTTAAGAGGAGAGGGTGGAATTGTATAAGGAGGTTGCAGAACTAGGACAGGTGAGGTTTGAGATAGGTAAAAGG